CGATGAGATATAGGCACGTGTTCTATAAAACAATACAAAAATGTTTCCCGTGCTCCATTTTAATTGATAATGTCAATGTAAGGAAATACATTATGGCTATAATTTTCTGACAGCAAACTTTTAGCTTATACCAAGCTGTTCAACACTCAAAACGTGGATTTGTCCAGCTTACCCCTCAGCTCCCAGCCACCATGGCTGAAATGATATTATCTATTTACGTTCATTTGGCAGCCTTCCTGACCGCTTTGATTGGAGTCTCTAGTAACATGCTGACAGGATCTATGCAATGCAGCTGATATTATGAGACTGCTATTATTTAGAGGCACATTTCATCCGTTAAAGTGTGAAACTAGAGAACTCCCAACATGTACTGAATCAAAATTAAAGGTTTTGAGGGCTTTTTCCTTAAAGATGTTCAACCATTTCTTGTTTATGAAACACCTGCACTCTTAAATCCTATTTTATCAGCCTTCATTGCTGCGTGCACACCCAGCCCCTGAGCGTTTACTCTCCAGGTTACTGCCACCGTGCTTGGGAACCATCAGAGAACAAGTGAAGTCCTACAAAGAAGGTACACACGTCAGCTCCTTCAGGACCGCAGCATTCACTCTAATGAATTACATTCTGATATTTCATAAATTCTCCTAAAGACCACAAAAGGCATCCCAGGAAAGGAAACGCTGTTAGTTGCCTGAAGTTCACTGCGCAAATGTTCCTCATTTCCAGAAGTACGTAACCTGGGTACATGTTTAAGACGAGGCTGAAAACCACTCTCAACTTGGAAGCTGAAATAAGGAAGAAAGTAAAGAGGTCACTGCAATTTAGCTGAAGAATTACAGGTAAAAAAAAACTCACTTCTGGTAACAACTTGTGGAAGTTTAAGTTGAATTCCTCAAGTCACCTGTGCATCTCATTATATGTTCAGCTAAGACTACTGAGGTACCCTCCCAAAAGAAGCATCAGAGCTGAATGCCGAAGCCGTGAAATAATTACTGCTCTGGGGATGGAGCAGCTCCTCACAGATTTATAAACAGGAAGCGTGAAGCTGTGCGCTCATACCTGCCTTAATCATACAGCAGAGCCCTAAAGCCAGCAGATACTGGCTGACACAAGTCTCCCTGAATCTAGGCAGGCTCAGCAGTGGATCCCATTAATTCTGATAGCTAAAAGAAGGAAAGGAAGGAAGCTGAAAGGGATCTAAGCATCTTCATCACAAGTACCTGAAAACTCAAAGCTCCTCAAACAGGACACAGGTTTATACCCCCTGAACATGGAGTGTCCTGGAAAACAGCAGAATGCCGGCCTACCTGTGCTGCTCAAGCACTGTTTTTCAGATATGGGAGAAAAGAAAGAACAACATCTGCCTTCATGGAATACAGAAAAAGAAGAGAATAAACCACAAGAACAGTTCTCTTAATTTTTCCTAAAAATGCACCTGGGATTTTAAAAGATCATGTCAAAGTCAGGAGTAATAAAAAGCCCCATTTTGTGACCAGAGGCAAATCCCGTGAAGCTGACACACCTGACAGTCCTGCCCCAATCTGAATGGGCACACGAAGTGCACGCACTCTTCTGGACTATGAGGCTATTTGTTTTCTTTTTCTCAAGGATCATTGTGCACAAAACTCAAAGCACAATGGAACAGACCTATCCACAGCCATTTGTTTCTCCCAGTGCTACACTCCTTGGCCACGCTGCTGTCAATTGCAGTTCCTCCTTCCTCCATCCCAGCATACACCCAACAGCAGTTTTACCTTGCTTTGAGCAGAAGAAAAACCCAGCCCTCCTTCCCAGCACAAATCTTACAGATCCATGACTATTCATTGACACTCCTTTTGTTTAAGTGGTTACCTGACTGAATATTTAGCATACATAAGCTGAAAATAGCCCAAGTTAGCATGACCTGCTTTCTCGAAGCAGCATTCTCAGAAACTTTGATTTCTATCATCTCATAATTTTCAAATACCTTTATAAATGTATGGTCTGAGTCTGTGATTATATTTTAAAAGTTACCTAAGGAAGACGTGTTAACAGTGACTGGAGAATGCAGTCCTCAGGGATCCAGCATAAACCAGCCATCAGTTAGTACCACGTACCCACCTCTTTCCTGAGGAATCCTTATTAAAGCATTGTATATACAACGCAGCAGACCTGCTGCACTGTAGCTACAGCAATAAAGTTCCTTTATAAAGTCGCATTTCCCAAACACAGCCCTTTAAGGCTGCCAGCAGAACAAGTGGAAGATAAGGCAGGCTTCGGAGAACTACCTCCTCCGTGTAAGATAAGGCCTCGCGCTGGGCAATCTCAGGAGGAGCGAGCAGCCAGACAGCCTGGCGAACGGAGTGGGGGCAGAAAGGAGAGGCACGCGCTGGAGAAGGCTCCGAACCAAAAGGGATACTGACCGAGCTGATGTGAGCACCGCCCCAGGAAAAAAAGATGCTCTTGGACCTTGGGCTAAGAAAAAAGCAACAAAGCCATGAGCCAGGTTGACAGTTTATGCCATTACAAACTGAGTTTGATGAAATAACCGATTACCTTATGCATGACTTGGAACAAAGCACTTACTTCACCTCTAACGACCTGTCCGTGAATTTCATCTCCTTACAAAGAAGTGAGCCTCAGCCAGAGGTCTGAGGGCCAGGAAGAGCTCCACACAGGGATCAGAACAAGCTCAAAACCTTTACCTTCCCCACAACAAGAGGCAAAGCTGTGCCCCTGGCAACTGTAAATAAGATGATGATAGCTCAGTGATATTCGTAAGAAGAGATGTCCGAATAGTCGCCCTTACGTTTCACTCCCAAGCTACACAACCAGACAAAGATTTTACAGGGCAGGAGAGAAAAAGGAGACCAGCAGCGGGTGCTGCCCTGGGGGAACACAAGACAACTTCATCGGGCGCATCCACACAGCCGCATCATCCACACTGCAGTCAGCTGTCTGTGATGATGAGCAAAAAATAACAACAGTGATGAAAAAAATCACAGCACTATCTCATGCTCCAGGGTGAACAAGGCCAATAATACCAGGCTGCCCTCATGTTTTCATCTCTTTGAACAGAAGTTATATTCTAGCTAGTTATTTATATTGTGAGTGTTTAACCACAAAAACCCTCCTCACCTTCACTCCCTTGGGTTATTCTCAAAATTATGGTAAAATTACTTCCATTCATAACTTAAAGAGTCAGCCTTAATTTCTGAAGCTTACAGAACCAGCCTTGCATTTTGCCAGATATTCTGAACAACTGAAAGCATCTCAAAAGAGGAGCACAGCCTTCTGAATGAACACTGCTTCTACAAACACAGGTAACCACCACTCATTCCACGGGGTGAATTTGTGTATCACTTAATAGAAAACTTGTCAACATTTAATAACCGGGACACAATGTCAGAAAAGCTCCATCCATCTAATGGGATGTAAATATACAGAGCTTTGTTTTTGCTTTAATAATGTGTATGTTTATCTATTATCATCATTTGCTGCTTGTGTCCACAGAAGTACCACAAGCACCAGCACAGTTCTGTGCGAGCAAGAATGGCCCCAACAAACAACGCTTTGATAACCAGCCTGTTTTATATGTACAACAATTCACTGGTTAAGTAAACAACGCTGTTATTTAGTAAAACATCAATTTATACCAGGGCCTAAACCAACCTTTCTGCTCTTCTGCAGAAAAACAGTATTAAAAGCTTCACAGAGATAGAACAACACTAAAGAGAAATAACATTCACTGTGCAAGGAAATTATAAATAACTTCAAAATCAATCTTACTTTGATGTCAAGTAAAGTCTTCCCTATGAAAGCTTCCAGATTAGCTTCCTAGAGGCAGAATACGAGTTTAAATCTAACTTTAAATTCCAGGCGTTTAATTTTTCTTATTTATGAACTTCGGAATATGCAACTTGACTGAATGACTGCGTTCAATTTCACGTCCCTCCCAAACTATGTTTATGACTCCAGCTCCTCTAAAAACACGTAAGTCTATGTTTTTTGAAACTTCACGTGCTTTCTCTAGAAGCGAAATTCTTTGGGGCTGCTATGGCTGAAACCTGTAATGAAAAGGAGTTTGAACCACATTTGTTTCCTCTGCTTGACAGCGTTTAGAATACGTTGCTCCATTTCCTACTAGACATGGCATCCCTCGCTGCCTCCACCATTTAAAAAAATATTAAAATAATAAAAAAAAAAACAGATCACCATCCCGTGTCACACCACTCTGTTTCTCTCCCAGTTATCACTGGATGTTTCCTCCCAGCTCTCCCTCGGCAGCCCCCAGACGCTTCTGGGGTGCCCGCAGCACCCCGAGGGGCCGCTCCCCCATCCCACGGGCGCTCCGACCCCGGCACAGGTGAGCTGCCGGAGCGCTCCGCACCTCACCACAGGCCGAGGACGACGGAAAAAAAAAACCCTCCTGGCATCCAAGCTCCCCGGGCCCTCTTTGTCCTTGGCTCCCGGCTCCGGGCGCAGCTCGGGGCTCGGCCCCGCGCTTGTTTACGGCCCCCCCCCCCCCACCCCCGGTTCCTCCCGGCTCGGGGAGCACCGTGCACGGGAACCGCGGCTCCCTCCCAGCCGGCGGCCGCAGGGGCGCGCTCCTCGCCGCGGCCAAACGCGAGGAGCCCGGTACGGCCCGGTACAGCCCCGTACGGCCCGGTACGGCCCGGCCCCTGGCGGGTGACAGGCGGAGGCGAGGCCGCGGGGCCCGGCCGGTGCCAGCAGAGCCCCCGCCCGGCTGCAAGGAGACCCTGAGGGGGTCCTCCCGGTGGCGGCTGCTCCCTCACCGGGCTGTGGGGTGGGGGGGGTGAGGTTCCCGGTACCTCCCCCTTAATAAAATAAAAATAAAATAAAGGGGCGCGGAGGGAGCGCGAGGCGCAGCGCCGGCTCCGGCGGCTCTGTCACGGCGCCGCTGACAGCCCCGGCTCCCCCCCCCCACTTCCCGATCCCCTCAGGCCCCGGCCCGCCGCCGCCCCCCCCCCCCAACGTCTCCGGTCGCCGTTCGCCCTCACCCCTCCGCAAGGCCTCGTCGTAGCTGAGGAAGCCGATGCGGGACTCCTTGGCGCCCATGGTGCCGCTCAGTCCATGGCTTCCCCCCCCCCGCCCTCCGCCGGCCGGCTGAGGCGCCGCGGAGCCCGGGCTGCGCCGCCGCCGCCTCAGGAGCGCAGGGAGCGGGCGGGGGGGGGAGGGGGCGGGGGCGGGCCCGGGGGGAGGAGGCGGCCTCGCGCCCTCCCCGCCCCCGCCTCCATGGCGGTCACGTGCCGGGGGGGGAGCCCGGCCCCTCCGCCGCGTCACGTGACGAGGGAGGAGCGGGGAGGGCAGCGGCGCGTCCGTCCCTCTAAGGGGGGGGTCACGTGACGCGGAGCCGCCCGCCAACGGCTGTGGAGAGCGCAGCCCGCGCTTATTGGGGGGGGGGGGGGGGGGGGGAGTGTGACGGCCCTGAGGGGAGGCAGCGCCCCGCTGGAAAAGGGGGTTCAGTGCATAAAACACACACATGGGATGAGCTGGGAAAGGAGTAGGGATTGGCCTCGTCCTTCCCAGCTCTTCAAGGGGTTTGGGTTTAGGATTCAGCGCAGCGCTTGCCCAGAATGGGAGGATTGAGGATTTCCCCCCATGGCTGCGTTACAGCGTTAAGGGAGGTGGCGTGCCCTGGGTCACTCTCCAGCAGAAAATAAGGAGAGTGAAATAAAACACTGATTACCAGGGGCAGGTCGTTCCAAGGATTGTTCCCCTGCGGAAACCAAGCCTGTGAAAACACCAGTTGCAAGTCATTCCCTAACTTAGGGTTTCCTTGCTGAACGATCTTACCACATCAGAGCTAACGAAAGGTCAAGCCAAAGTTATTTTCTCGCTGATGTAAGTTCACGCGTAGGTATTTTTATAGCAAACATTCCAAACAAATTTCATATCTGATATGCAAAGCCAGGAATGCAGCTCACAGAGAAGCGAGGTTGAAGGCCAAATCTCTCTCCTGTAACACTACTAAACTGCAGAGTCACTGCAAATGTATTAAACTTCATAAATCCTCCTTTTCCGCCATCACCAGATTTTTGTAGTATCTTACATTCGTGACCAAGAAGATAATAATTACACTCAAGCAAAACAACCCAGTGGACCTTTTGCCTCCCTGGAAGATAGAATATGGGGAGAAGGAGAAAGTTTAAGTGCTTTTTAAAAACCCAAGTGAAATTCTTGGGAACATACTTAACACACCAGCCACTCGTTCCACACTTACCTTTTAAGCCTGAGTCTTCAGTGCCCTCATATATTCTTATTCTACCCTTACATCTCTCTTCTCAATGCACCTTGTAGTCCCTCACTCAAACAGGCTTCTATTTAGATGCAATATAAACTCTAAAATATTTTGCAGAATGAATACAACAAATATGGCAACATGTCAATCAAAAGTGAAGTTGGCAATGCTCAAAGCAGCTGGAGAAGTATCTGCTTTATCTTGTGATTAAATAAACCATTCCAGCCTCTAACAATGACATTCATTCTGCCATGCTCCATTTGTGACGGATCACTTTTCAGAAGTGTTAACTCACAGCTGAGGAGACACAGTTTAATTCCTAACTTTGCTATGCTATTCCTGTGTGATCTTATGCCTAGTAATAATCTTTTTTATGTTTTGGTTACTTCTCAGAATTGCAGAGATAATGATACATTGAGAGTCCCTGTTTTGCTTGGAGCAAAAAGCTGCACTGGGATCCAGCCAGACCCAAACTGGCAGAGCAGCTACCGAAAGCAATTAGAGCAGGAAGCAACTACAATGGTGTCGTAAGGCAGCTGTCTGTAGTTTTCACACCAAATTCTTCTCATCTTCACACCGATTTTTCCATGACTATTAACCTCCCTTAAGCCTCTTACTTTCAGTGAGTTTGTTGTTGTTAAACAGCAACAACAAAAGTAGCCAGGCACAGGGCAGAACTGACATAACATTTGGGCCTGTTTCATCCAGGCACGCAGTAGCGAAGGGACCCACACCAGGGCAATGATCTCCCTCTGATGCTAGTGCAGCCACCACCATTGATAAACGCATTCCTGCACTTACCAAATTCCATGCTGGGACCTGGATGAATTACCAACAGCTTTCTTCATATTTACAGATACCAGTCTTTCCCTTTCCAGCTTTTGTTTTCAAAAACTAGACAGTTAACCGTTAAGCTCTACTAGTTACCTCTCTAATAAAGTTCCACCACAACTTAGCAGACTTTCTTTATACCAGTTTCAGATCATGTTTACAAGTATGGATGACCAGAGCTTTATTCCATTTTTAGCCGAGGACTAACCAATACTTTAAAAATTATTCTGGTTTTATCTATGTCTTGAAAAACCTCTAACTGTAGCATACACAAGCCCTGTTCTCAGGCAGCAGAGATTATTAGGCAGTACAGGGCTTTTAATGACAACTAGTTCACTTGCTATATCATGAAAAGACGAACGTCTGAAATGATAATTGCAAATCAGATCCTGCCACCATCCCAGCTTAAGGTATAGTCTCAAACAGCTGAGTTAGTATTTGATGCAAATGAGGAAGCAGAAACATGCAGTGAGATGGTCCTTCCTCAAGCAGAATGAAAAAGGATTGAAAAGATGGTTAATGATGATGGTTAATACATTTAAAAACAACATTCTTTCTCAAATGGTTAAAAAATATTTATTACATTAAAACTTGGCACTTCCAAGCAGTAGTTAAGTTGTTAAGACTAATACTGCATTTTTGTATGACATTAAAAAAAAGTGACATTTCTTACGTCCCACAGATATAAAAGATGTCTAACAAGCAGTAGAATTTTCCTTGAAGAGTGCTTTAAAATAATTTGCTGTATCCATTGTATGCACCATGGCTTGCACCAAATTTAATAACAAAGATATTCTAGATTGGAAAAATCAGACTGGAGGCTTATGATGGCAGTGTCTTTGTTCAGATTAAATTAAGCATGTTCTCAAAGGCATTGAAGCAGGAACCTAGAGATAAGACTTTGTATGCTAACCGTGGATTAGATCTGGCAGTGAGTTTTTAATGAAGCCTTATTGAGGAGCACAAGATTATAGATGTTGCTACTATTTAAATGTTATGTCAAAGGTAAATCAAATTAAGATACAGTGAATTTAGGCTTCTATTAGATGAATTGAGCTCCTCTGCTCTGTTTGAAAAGTGCTATATATGCAAATCTAACTAACTGGCCATGTGCCTTTATGATTGCTGTGATTTATTTAATTATTCGCTAATCATAAATAGATTCATAAGTGTTTAGCAAATATCTTTAAGTGTCTTTGCATCATCATCAAGTATCTGTGGAAAAGCAGACATTTACTGCTGCGCAGAGGCTGCAGGAGGTGCACAGCATCACTGCCTTCCTGGCAGAGCAGCTGGCAGTCCCCGGGGGGGTGGCTGGCAGTCCCCGAGGCTACCAGGAAGGGAAAAACAGTCACGGACTTGAGCTGTGGGCTAAGGCTGAAGCGGGCATCTGCTAAAGAGGTGTCTCAAGTTGCATTCTTAAGACCTGAACTCAAAAGAGATGAGCCAAGTAATTGTGGAACTGCTGCGGTGAATCAAAAACAATTCTGAGAAGAGTGGTGTAGTCCCTAGGATTTCCGGATTTAAAGTTCACTGAAAAAAAAAAAAAAAAAAAAGGAACCAAAAATGCAGCTTCTGGGCCCTGCAGTATTACTCACCTCCAAGTCTTTGCCTCTTTCCCCAGCATCTCTCTCTCTCCAGGGATGTCATATATGTTTTGATCTTTGTAAACTACCTCAAAATAGGTATCATCCTCTTCTGTCGAAATGCTGCACCCTCCAGGATAATTGCAATCTTTATGTTGAAGATGCAATAATATATTTAAAAAAAAATTACACTATTCTTTAGTACTTGTACTTAATACCAGATAGAAGGAAGCAGGAATTTTCAGCACAGAGATGGGAGGAAGAAAAAAATAAAAATAAAAAAAAATGCAGAGCTAAAATTAAAGCTAAAACTGCCAGAAGTGTTGTACAGAAAGTGGTGGCCCAGCAGACAAACAGTACTAAATAGCATGAGGGGACAAGGAATTGATGGAACGAGAGGAAAACTCATGTCAAAGGCCTAGATCAAACAGCTTTATTCTTTCCAGACATTTATGTGCTTTTGAAATGGAGACCCCAGATCTCCAACACAGACACAGCGAACAACTATCTTCACCCCTCAGTCAGAAGGCAACTTGGTCAAGAACTGCTTGGCCAGATTATCATCTGTAATTTGCATTTATTGCCACGACAAGGTCTGAGGCACTGTACAAACATGAGACAACTTCTACCCCTTGTGCTTCACAGACAGTGGGAACGCAGTGCAGCAGAGCACATCTCAAATATTTGGAAAGAGCAGAAGGTGGCAGAGATATCGAGGTGCAACGAGAGTATTCATTTACCATAGGCCTGCGGTGTTGATAGCTGAACAATTTCATATCTTTTTAATTAACTGCTGAGTGACGGAAATACCTCAAATCATCTTCTGCCAATCTAATTCTGATGTCTTCGGGGTGGAGAACACAAGAGGCTTCCTCAAAGAAGAGCAGAACTCTACATGCAAACTACAACTTTTATCACATCCCACATTTTTCTGGAAGTATGTGGTTTTGAATAGTAGTCAGAGGGTGACATTCACTACAGATTCGTATGAACTAGAAACAGAAATAAAAAGGAACAGATTCCTACTAGGTCCCTCCTATGTCACACTTACCATACAAGGCAGCACACCAGCACCACAGCCAGCATGAATTTTGTAGCAGAGCATTGCCATGGCTTTTATGGCCAAAACTGAATAAAACAAAATGCACAAACACACAGAAAAAAAAAAATAAATTTAATACCTGTAGAATAACATCACTGTAACTAGCAGCAACAGATAGGAAAATGAGGTCTTAACATTATCGTCTTTCTCAGGAAGCCCTACCGTGTTTTTAATAAATTTTGCATTTATATTTTAACCGCAAATTCTCAAATGGGATTTCTGCAAACCCAGTAATCCCCCCCCCCTTCCTGATGGGACCTGTTAATGAATGCAGCGCTCACTGGGCTGGCAGCGTGGCATTGCCTGGGGAGTCAAAGTGAGATGATTTGGATTTTTCCCCTTTATTTTCAGTACATGGGCCCTTCCCTTTTCACTCCTGCCCTATAGCTCCCCACTCCCCAGTGCTCTCACAGCTTGGCTGAAGCTCACCCTGACACCCAGTACCTTCTTTCTCACTGAGTCAGTTCCACATAAACCACACAGATTACCATATAAACATGATGGGGAGGCAGGAGATAGCAATGTGGGCAGCACTTCTCCATCCTCGCCAGGCAAAGACAAGTGAGGCAGGAGCCTTATCTGGGCTGCGGACTGCCTCTGCTTAATTTTGCCTCCTCTTAAGAGGAGGATTAGTTAATATTTTTGCTCAGCCACTTCCCCCCGGATGCTTTTGTTTAGGGAGCTCAGAACAGGTTTAAAGCCACTTGAAATTGCTGCTTGTATTCCTATTGATACATATTTTTGACTCAGTGCTATCTACCTAGCCAAAGAAATGAGGCACCTGAGCTGCATTCTTTACTATTTTAAGATTTGTGGGAGAGCGATCCCCCATTTTTACTGAAGCTGCCCTTGAGACACGGAAGAAAACAGCATAAGGCACCCTCCACTCAAGGCTCTTGTAAGCAAAGCTTCCCCGTGTATGGCAGGGTGACACCATCATACTTGAGGCCCACAAACAGGGGAAAAAAATTCTTTTTCCTGTCCAACTCTGCTGACATCCCTCCAACCCAGAGGAAACAAGGTGCCACAACTAATGGAAGTCGAAGATAAGCATGAAGCATTAGGAAATTTTGTAAATATCACATCCTTCCTGACTTTCTATCAACCTGTTTGATTATGCTGTGTATGGGGAGACGTGTGATAGAATTAATCAGCCTGCTGGAGTGAACGCTAAAGGAACAGATGAGCTTTGGCAAGGCTGCTGCTGGCACTGAAAAAGAAAAACTGTGACAAAGAAAAAAAAATGCAGACCTAAATCCAGAAGCATGTCATTCAGAAAGTGAGATATGCCATGATTTATCACCGTAACAAAAATTGATGGCAACACAGATCTCCCATCTCAAAGTGTTGTCGCTGTGTAGATTAAGAGTAGTATCTGTCATCGAGAAACAATGGCAAAAGAAATATGTTTGATAAAAGCAATTCTGTACTCTCTTGTAGTCAGATAACACGTCTGCCATTGAAATGGAGGTAACGGATTTCTCTACAGCCCCATCTTCAGCAGCAAGGAAAAAAAAAAAGTGGTGTGACAAAAGGAAGCACACATAATTAATAACAGAAGAGCAAATCAAAGGAGTGGCTTTGCAAGGAGTGAGTAATGTTTACCCCATTTCAGAAAAGTCCAGAGTGCATGGTAGGAAGAGGATGCTTGCTTTGCCCCCAGAGAGTGACAGCACCGGCAGAGCGCAGCAGGCAGTGGCTTACCACTGCGGCCCACCAGGGCAGCTTTCCTTTTCAAAGAGTGAGCTTCTTTCTTCTCAGCTCAACAGCTGCTGCACACGGGGTCTCCAACATCATCTTAGCAGCTTGACTGTTGCATACAGAAAAAGCAATACCAAAACATAAAACATGTAACAACTTTAGGAACATTTTGCCAGCAGCTGACACAATGGAAAGCGCATCTCAAAACAGCAGGACAGCAGAGCAGAACAAAAACCATGGAGCCAGGACTGCCATGTCATCTGGCACCTCCTTGCACCTCCCTCAATGCCATTTCAGGTGTCGGCAGGGAAGGCCAAAGCATTTTATTTGCTAATTAAGGTTTCACATAATTCAAGCGTGGAACAGGCAAAGGAGATCCCCACATAGAAACCTGTCAGCCTTCCCCGCCGTGCCAGCAGACTGATGTCTCAGTTCAGTGCTTTCACAATGCAGACAGCAGAATAACTCTGGACGTCTGCATACAAAAATCCCTACACACACACGTCCTGCTGGCATGCACGCTGCCACGGATGGCGATCCAAAAGTGACACCTCCCCGCCTGAGCTAAGGACGCTGCAGACAGAGATAAGAAAGAGACGTTAAAATAACAGACCTCTGTTTTATGGTGTCAAATGGCTAATGATAGTGATTAAGGCTTTTACATTTCTTTACAAAGTGGTATTATCCGAGCTAGCGTCAAGCCCGTAATCCGCCCAGAGTCAACAACGAGCTCCTGATCGAGCCAACAGCACAACAAAAAAAGGTCCCACGGCTTGCCATCTGCTCAAACCACTACATCACACCTCTTTCTCCTCCATGCAGCAGTAAGCCACAACAGGATGCAGATGACCAGATTGTGTAGCTGCCATTTCAGCTGAGCACCCGGTGGCTGTTGATGTGCTGAGAGTGGACTCTCAAACACGAGGCACGGCACACGGCCGTGGACAAGCAGCTCCCGCGGCGTTTCGCTTCGCTGCTTTTGTGGGCTGGTTGCACCCACGAAGCCAGGTAGAGCACTAGGGATTAATCAAATGTTTTGCCTGCTATGTTAAGCATTTATACGTGTTTTTATTATATAAAACATATTGTTTAATGATCCGTAAAAGCCTTTGGCAGTCGCTCTCCCTTTGGTTAGAAGCCCAGCTACTCATATAAGCGCATTTGGCCTAGCAGCTCCTTTCAACTATCAGAGCAAACATTAGGCCTGGACCATGGAGCAGATTCTTGAGCAGCTCTCAGCAATGCATGACCAGCTCAGAGGAGCTGGAAGTTGCCAAATCGTTGCAGCTTGAAAAAGAAAATTGGTGCATTCAAGGAAGGGAGCAATTTGAAGTTGTTACAGAGCGCTTGGACACCACTGATGGGCAAGAGTTTTACCTCTCATTTCTCTTTCTCTTATCACTTCCCAGCTGTTTCTTCCACTTTCAGGTAGTTTCAGCGTATCCTTCCATTTTTACCCACATAGCTCACTAACAGCTTTCTAGTTGATTCTGCTGTTTTTAGTGCCGAGGTACCAGCTGTGCAACCCTGCAAGCTGGCGCATATATGACCTTGAATTTTTCCGTGTAGCCAATCAGGAACTGTCTTCGCACAGCGTTTCCTATCTCCCAGAGAGCATCTCTCAATTTTTAGCATTAGACATATATCACTTTATAGCATCCAAAGCGTTGTGCGAACACGAGCCTGCTAGCACCAACAAAAATCACTCCTCAGCCAGCCCGTACCCTGTTATTGTCTATCAGCTCCTCCATTTCACTGAAGCCAGCCTGGGGAGTTCTTTTTGCTTGCTCCTCTGCAGGAATATTAAAACAGAATCAGAATGAAGGTAGCTGTAAATTTAATGTCACAGCTGGGAAACTGAAGGTCTTCAGATCACACTTTCTCCCCAGCCTTTTAATTGCTAAATTATTCTTGAAGATTTGACACAAGTCTTTCACCTTCCTATTTCCAGGCTATTAGCAAGAAAAACCAGACAAAAAAAATACATAATTTTCATTAATCTGCAGAGCATGCACACAATGCTTAATTTCAAATGGATAAAATACTGCTAATTACTAGCACATTCTAACAGTCCTGTGATTTTACAGGGAACTACGTCAAACTAAACCAAATTATGGGTCAGAACGTGCAAGTCTTTTTATCATTATCGCTAATTCCCTTTGTGGTTTATAACATCCTGAAGTGTCAGTCGTTTTTTATCCCCTCACCCTCCACTCCACCCCAAAATAAAATAAAAATAAAACCAAACCACGTGTCTTACCAGATTCTTTGAGCCTCTGGCTAGCACTGCTCAGCTGCTCCATAATTATTCATCACACTAGGTCCAGCAACAAGCCATTCACAGCACGCTCTTCTCACATTTTGTTTAAACACTAGATACAACAGCAGATACCGAAAAAAAAAACAGATTTTGAAGCAAGAGACACTGGAATTTGGGTGGAATCAGATGACTAAGAATTACTGTTCCCCTCAACACCACCACCCAAAAAATAAATAAATGTGTGTGTGTAAAAAAGGATTCTTGAGCAGGCTATAAAGTCTGCCTTCTTTTTCTGAATAAGCATTTCTAGACCCTGAAGTGCCCCCATATCTAAATATAATGCTGACCAATATGTTCCTAATTTCGTATTGAACTGTAATTAAAATAATAGGAATGCTCCCTAAATAAGTTAGATCGCAACTTCCCGTGATGCTCTTCCAGATCCCAGGCTTTTTGCCCTTACCATCAGACCTACCAAAACCCCGCAGCGCTTCCACCAGCCTCATCTCCAGGTCCTCCTCTGGCCTCCCCAGCGGTCCAGCCCCACCGTTCCTGCAGCCCCCCATTGCCTCTTTCCCTGCAGGTGAACTCGGGCCCCAAAAGACAGAGGTGCTCACCCCGTATCTGCACGGCACCCGGCACAACAGGCTCTGGTCATCTGGAGCCCTGGCTGTCAGTAATACAAGCAGTAAGTCACCAAACCCAAGTTTCTCTGCAGATCAGCGTTACATCTCGTGCCTGCCATAAACGGCATAAAATGCACCTCTTTGCATTCCAGCACGTTGTGGAAGAACATTAAAGCACTTAATATATTATTTAAGCCAGTTAAGCTAGATAGCACAACTGCAGTAATTAGCAACAATTCTCCAAATCCCCATATGCCAGACAAAGGATCGTGTTTAGTATTTTCAGGCTGGTAGGAGGGAATCAGAACATTGCAGAAATTAAATGGCACACACTGCTTTTTTCCCCTCTGCCTATCTCAGCAGAGCCTATGTTTCACTACAGCTACCCCACTGCAGCATCAATACAAGAGACTGAAACCCATCACACAAACAGGGCTGGCCTTTATTTCTCTATTATTTTAAGCATAACAGGGTGCTCGATGTTTTAAGAAAGAAAAAATAAGCCACTTCTTTTGCAAGCTACATTCTGTAGGCTGGAGGGGGATTTCCTTTCTTTTCTTTTCAAATTAAAACCAAAAATAATTTTATAAAAACCGCCCTCAAACCCAAACCTGACTTCCTCTGGAAAATCCATGAGCTGAGGTAAGCGCTGAGTGGAATTGTAAAAATCCCCCAAGCAGCAGCCGCCCACCTCGCACCCGGGGTCGGGACGGGACAGCGTGGTGCGGGTACGGGGCCGGGAGAGGAGGTGCCAGGCGGGACGAGTGAGGAAAGGGCATCGGTCAGGTTGGAGCAGAGGGATGGGACACGGGTGCTGCCAGCAGACTGAACCCCGCTACTCCGGCTCACGTTGCATGCCCAGGAGCCCCGTCACACCGCGTGCCAGAAGGCAGCCAGCCCGGTGGCACAGGTTGCGCTGGAAATGCGCCCAGTGCGGTGCTCCTGTGCAAACAGCGAGATCACAACAGCCAGGTACCAACACCTTCTAAAGGAGCAGGGAGGAGGTGGAAAGAAAACACAGATTTGGGATCCTCTGCCATAATTAGAGACGTTGAAACCGAAGGTGCCACGGCTCAAAGAGGGGACAGACCTGATGCAGGATCCTGGCTCCAAGCCCCAGTTGCTCCGACCAGTTGTTGTTTTCCATCCTCTTTGTATGGGCAGATACAACACAGCGATTTTTTTTTTTCCCCTGCTGGGTTGTTCGGAGAAAAGCCTCAAGACTGAAAACTCAAATACGAGAGAAGAACCCCTTCTGGTGGTCAGCCATTTATTTCTCCATTGCAGAAAGAGGAAAATCCCTTTTTAGTGTTCTGTATCTTGTATTATTTTTACTTCATGAGTTATTATTTTATTCCTCAGCGTTGCAAAGAGGCCAATCTGGCGGGGGACCAGCGCTGTGCCAAGGAGGACTGGCAGCACCGGGGCGCTCCGTGGAGAGGTGCTGCTCCTTGCCCAGCTCAGTGCTGTGAGCTCTGAACCCACGGGGTTTTTCCCAGAAGATTATTTTCATTATAACAGACTGAAAAAAAAGCATCACCAACCCAAAGACAACCTTGCTTGGATGGGCATTTCCATACCGGGCTGTTTGCCTCTGCTTTGAGCTTTTTTTCCTCTCACATCAAGACTTTGAGAGCTCCTGGGTTTCCCACCCAGCTGTGCCTTTTGCCTCTCAACCCTCTCCTTCCCCATGCAACACTTACTTTTCCCACCTCTCCCTCAGTCCTTTCTGCACCCTGCCTCTATATTGCGTGCACCTTTAAGGCTCGTATTTTCAATGCCTCTCTGCACATCTCGCTAATCTCGTGCCACATTCCTGGGCAGAGCTGACCTTTGGGCACAGCCGTGCCAACATCATCATTTTCCAGGCTCCTCTGTTGCTAAGATGGGGGGCAAAGTTCTTAAGGAGGGGAAAGAGGGCAAGGAGCTAGCACCTGGCACAATCCACGCTGCATCAGAAAACAGATTAACAGAGGAAGTTAGATTGCTTTCACTATGAAGCCACCCACCTTGGTCCAGATTTGATTTTAGAAGCAGCAGCAAAGGGAAAAGTTTATTAACATGCCATTAACTATGCATATTTCGATTTGCATAAGCAAAACAAACACTGCTGAAGTGCAGTAAGAAGGAAGGCCTGTAACTGTCCCGTTCGTCACAGTGTGAAGGAAGCTGATAACGCTCTTTCAGTTCCTGAGGACTTCAAGCAGCTTAAAAAAACAAAACAAAAACAAGTGATATGACATCAGCAAACACCAGTAAGTGTCCTAACATCAGACTGGATACCTAAAGGCAGAAACTCAGCCAGAAACCTGCTGAAGCATAAAATAAAGTAGGAACACACCAAGATACATCTACTGACAGTGAAGAACCAGCACACGAGGCTGGTCACCAGTAGCTTTGGGCGCTGAGGAAGGTTCAGCTGTGCCTTCCAGAATGCAAATACTTTGAACGCATCTGGTCAGACTTTGCAAGAAGAGAGAGAGGGGGAAAGGGATGCAGACGTGGTTGTGGCTTTGTGTTCAACAACCACGGCTTCATGTTCAACATGCCCCGGTCACAAATAGAGCTTGGGGTCTTTAACACGTTTACTCAGACAAGCAATTAAAAAAACTCCCACCCCTTAACAAAAAGGGACTCCTATGGCATATTACAGTGCCTCTACTAATGCCACATACGAACAATAACGAGGCCCAGATTCTCTTTTGGATCTCTTCCCCTGACACAAGGGTTATTAACTTGAGCTGTGTTTATTGGCATCCAGCTGCAGGGTGGACAGGTCTCCAGTTGGCTGTGAAAGTTTGCATCATCCTTAAGCACGAGGAAAGGAATTTCCAGATCCAATTAGCAAAGCCTCCACCCCTGCCGGCTGAGCAGTCGCGCTGAGTATCATTAATCACTCTATCAAACGAGGCGTTCACCCTCCACTTGGTAGAAACAGGTTACTGAAAACAGTCCTCACTGCAACTCCTTTTTAGTATCACATCGCAATACGTCCGGCAATGCTGCTTGGGTTTTATATTAAACTAAACCACCTGTACACGCAGTTGGGTTAAGCATAATGTAAAGTCCCTGTATATTATCTGCAGCTATCACTCTCCTTCCCCGTGACCTACCACTGAATAAATATTGCATCAGACACCTGCATATATTGTATGCAACCTGACTCATCAAATCACATGTTGTTTTCATGCCGAATCTGCATAAAACAGCAAATAGCAGCATGAGCAGGGTATCTTCACAAATGTTTCCTTTTTGGCTACGCGCCCAGTCTTGCACTGGAAGAGCTGCTTTGCAAGAAAGGTCGCTTACTGTTTGCGCTTGCACAGCTCCTGGAAGACCCAAGCACTCAATAAATTGCAGCAATGACTCTTCACAGAAGAGCTGTCAGGGGAAGAGGAGCAGTTTTCCCCGAGGTGTACTGTTGCAGCAACGTGTTTGACTGGCACTTGGGCTCCCTTCCCTTCACTAGAGGAAATACGAGACGCATAATCTATTTGTACTCCTGACTTTTACCCATCCAACTGGAACATTGTTTCAGAGGATTCCTGACCTCAAGCAGGCAACATAATCCGGTAGATTTACATAGATGTGGTCTGGGTTATGTTATCTTCAGCACGATAGGCCTCAAAGTAGAAATTAACGTTGTCCTGCAGGGCGGCAGGGGAAAGGAGACGACCACAGACTGGTGAAGGCTCAGAGGCATCCCTTGTGCCTGACCTCACTGGAGTGGACTCACTCACCAGGCCTTACGTGATGCACAAAATGAGCTGAAGGCTGACTCGGTGCTAACAAAAACATTAAATAGGCAGGGAACGTTTATAGCTCAGTGGTCAGAGTACAGTTTGAGCATTATATAGTTCAACAGTGGAAAGGGGCATTTTGCAGACTCAGCTTTTTAGTTCCCTGCTCTGCTACTCTACCAAGTAATGCTGGAGAAGGCTGCTAAGATCACTGCTCTGCTGTGAGCCTCGTTAATGGACAACGCTTAAATACAGTGAGATCCTCAGATGAAGGCTTTCCAGGGAAGTCCACCTGAACCTCCTGCTGGAGGATTTATGGCTTTGGCTGTGCTCCGAGTGCAGTGCATGCTGAAAGGTGGAACAAAGACTGGGATTTACAGGGGAAACCAAAGGCCTTCTTCGCCCTCTGAAACATGAAGTGTTCTCTTGATAAATCAGGAGAACCTCTCCAGACTGTAGTCACATGCCTGTGGAGGCTGTAATCTCCCAAGTACACAAGATACGGGCGTGCAAATATGGGTTATGCCTACGCTAACAACCGGTGTACGTCCCTGGGGCTCCTGAATGGCCTTTAATCTACCTGCTACCATGTGTTAAAGCCTGCACTGATGCAGCTTTACTGCTCTTGGTGCTCCTGTTTGCCGTGACCACGTTGCCCTTCAGCACCCTGACTTGAGAGCTGAGGACACAGGCTGTCAGCTTCCTGGTGTAAACTCTGGAGGTGAAAAGGAGAGGAGCTGCCTGCCACACCGGGGACTGGTGTCATGATTGCAGGCAAAAGAGAAGCACTGGCAACAGGTGCTGAGGAGCCAAGTGCACTTTCAACATCCCCTTCGCCAACAACACCTCCAACGCAGTCCTTGCAAAACCCCGAAGCTCACATAGGTAACGCTGATCCACACTATCGTGACTCCTCCGCTCTGCTATGCAGTGACCTTGCCTCATGTTAAGTAACACATAACATACCTTAAAATCTTAGTATAGACTAAATAAGTCATAACATACCTCAGAGGGTCAAAGCAAACCTAGCTTCAATGTGCTAGGAGGTGATTGTCCTTGGCCTGCTCAGCGCCAACCCGTGTGAGGCTCCCACGTCAGCGAGCTGACAGTGAAACTTCAGATGTGGGGGTGATGGAAAGCAAACAGAGGGAGAAACACCACCAACATCTTACGAGGTTTGTCTTAGCGGATTTTTGTCATTACTGAATTCAATCACAGGTAAAGGACTGAAAACAAGAACCTATCCAGCTTCAAGACCCCTCATCAGGACACGGTGGTTGCTCCACCAGAAGCATCCATCCTGCTGCTCTGAGCAGAGCCTGGGCCTCTTCATGCCGTGCCCAGGGGTACTCAGGGAGAGAGACCCCATATGGCCCTCAGGATGACTCCTGGTGCCAGAAGCGACCTGGCACAGGAGCCCAGCTGAATCACAGCTGCAGCAATTACACTAATTGTCCAAGGGACAAAACAATTGCACTTGTCCAACTGGTCAGGGCATGACAGCAGCCTGACACATTTTTATTTGTGAAAGCATTTTGCCTTGAAGTAAGTTTCCAAAACAGATTCCACTCAACTTCAAGCCTTTCCAGTCTTCTTCCTGGGAAGAGCAATTTATTCGTGTTTTAAAACAGAGTTTCAAGAGATGCTACCCAGGAGAGCTGCATCTCACTGTGGGTGGCTTCCACCACCACCTGTTAGGGAGATGCCCCCAGATTTCCCTTACACTACAGTGGGAGTTGTGGTCTCTGCTCTAAGAAGCTCCATGCACAGCACCTGGGGGAAAACCCAGGGGTTTCAGCCCATTTCCTTAGAACCACAATTCAATGGCAGAGCTGATTGGGAGAGGTGACCGTGCCCTGCAGGACTGTCCCATTGTGACAGTGCCGTTCCGGGCAGCGCCCCAGCTGTTCCCATGGCTGGTGGAACTCAGAACCGGTATCCGGGCCCCCGGTTACCCCAGTGCGCTTTGGTTCAAACACAGCTCCCGTGGCAACTTCCCCTTCCCACCTGGTGCGAGCAGGAGGCGAGGGGTCTGTGTCCCATGGAGAATACGGGCAGCAGAACGGGGGCGGCTGAGGACAACCCGGCTGGGCAAGCCAAGGTGAGCAGGGGCAGGGGCACGGCGAGAGCAGAGCCCGGCCTCAGCATCACTTCTAAAACCTCTTCGTAAATCCAGTCCTAAACCAGAAGGGATCTTCCCAGGGAGCAGAGCACACACAAAATGGAAGAACTGCTCTTCCTACATGCTTTAAGAGGCACCATAAGCTTGTGTTTAAGTTGGTCGTACAATCATTGCTTTCCAAAAAAATGAGTGGAGAAGTTACCTACGGAAACATTGCTGCAGGGAAAACCTACACCCTGTGCGAGAGATAACTCCCCCTGGACCTGGGACATGCAAACCCAGTGGCTGAGGATTTTGCTTTGCTTCCCAGCCAGCTGTGCAGCTGTCCATAGAAGCTGTGCGTGGAGCAGCGCCGCGTTACACTGAGCCCACTGTAGCTGCGATTTCCACTTAGCAAGCGGATGCCAGCCCTTGTTTGATGGATGCTATTAGGAACGAGTGACCATTGTTTACCTTGTAATTTATTAGAGGTAGGGTTTCCAAAAGGGACTTACAGTAGGTGGCCAATTCTTATGGAATTCTAATTATAATTGAGTACCTAGCTTCATTAAGCACCTCTGAAAACTCAAGCTGAAATGCTTTTGGCAGGAAGAGAAATGCTTCTGAGCCTTATGATAGGGTTTGTCCTCAGCAATGTTTGTAGGAGAGGACGCAGGATTGGCACCAACAGGCGACTAACCTGCAGCTTTGGCACTTCGCAGGCCACCGAGGGGGATGCGGCTGGCAGCAGGGGCGAGCCAATCCCCAGGACAGGCAGCTCGCACGCTGCGCCATGCAGGACCCCGCTCGTCAACTACGCGGACGGCCTCGATCGGGACACCTTCAAAATCGTGAGATACTAAATAGACTTCAGTGGTAGAGAGAAAAAAAAAATCAGTGGTAACTCAGGTTGTTGAGAGAGAGCAAAAAGCAGGATACATCATCTTATTGCAGCTTTCCTCCATGTCTGGATGTTAACCTCATTGCTGTTTTCCAGTTAACTGGACATCACACTGAGTTAAACAGCCACCCGCACCAAAAATCACACTTTACATACACCACCAGGTTTTTGGAAACACAAACTGCAATCTTTATCATTTCACATGACACTTTGGTGGCGTGGTTCAGCAATATTACCGGCACCATGGCCCCAAAGCTCCATCTCACACCTCTGCCCTGCACGGGGACATCCTGCCCACCCGCTCCCACATCCTGCATTCCCGGTGCACAGAGGCATACCCACACGCAGCCTGGTCACAGCTCAGAAGTGGCAAAAAAAAAAAAAAAAAAGACAAAAAAACTGTGAGGAGGGGCAAAAAGGAGGGCGTGCAGATGCAGCATTGGCTCTTGCATCACGAGCTGATGTTTGCACCATCCCAGGCACGGCCACAGGAAGCAGCAGCGTGCGAGTTCCCTTTCCCTCCCTGCAGAACAGCTGTCTTGTAGCCTGAAGTTAATATTTCACCCTGTGATGTCAGAAGGGAATTCCCAGAGGTGGAAATCCCTCAGTTCCCTTCCGAAGGCTGTGCCCAGAGCATGGTAAACCCGGGGAGGTGCAGGATGGGCTCTTGTGGGGCGATGGGAACCTCTAGCAAGGGACCTGCTGAGGTCCACTCCATCTCCCCTGTCCCTATGCAATACACTCAGACAACACTTCCCCAATGATCCCAGCTCATTGGGATCACCTTAATCAGCTCATTTAACAAAAAGCAGCACCCGAGCCCCCAGCTGAGTGCTAAGTGCCTATTCCAACGCTTCCCTTACAGTGCAAGGAGTTCCTGAGGCCCTTTAAGAAGTCTCTCAGGAAGCTGTGTTTGCCCCAGCACCTCTCCAGGAAGAGAAAAGTGAAGTACACAAAGGAAAGCCTGACCATAATCGGGGACCGCATTGACTTGTTTCTGCGGCAGCACTGCAGAGCCTCGGAGGTCAAGCACTGGAAGACGTAAGGTTTTGTCCTCTTACTGGGCTGGTGGTCCCGCACCGGTGATGCTCCTGGCTAGATGGGCTCCCATGGGGAATTTAGATGTAATTTGGCCCTGCATTTCCAGGCACTGGGCAGGTTGGGTGTCTGCTGGAGACTGGTGCTTCCCACGCTTAGGGAAGGGCTGTTCTTCAGAAGCTTATAAGCCTCAGGAAAAAAAAGAAAAGAAAAAGAAAAATATCATGCACAGGTACAGCAGTGGTCTCCCTCCACTAGCCAGAACCAGCACTAGGAAGGGCTGAAGTCCGTGCTCATGTACACCATCCCTGTGTCTTTTCCCCAGAATGATGTGGAGGTTCGTCTCCCTCTTCTCAGAGAATGACGAAAAGCAGCTGCAGAAGCTGTATAAGTACATCAAGAGCAACAGAATGGACAAGTTTAAGGTAAGCCAGCAGGAAAGGCAATGCCCCGCAAGGTGTCCCTGCTGCACTCACCTGAAGGGATGACCACAGTATGCAGGAGCTCAATCCACACCAGAGGGAAAACCTGCACTGTGCAAGTAGTTGCCTGCCAGAAGGGCACAAACCCTGTGGGCATTGCCAGTTCCCACCACGTCACGGGCACTGAGCTGTTGCAGTGGCTGGTGCCAGCACCTGGAAGCTGAGCTCACGGGCCCAGCACCACGGCTTATGATTTTTGGGGCTGTTCACTGATCCCGTGTTCCCAGCCATGTTTACAGACCAAATCTGATCCCTGGATTTATCTGGTGACACAAGAGTTAAGCATTGAAACAAGTAACTCATTCAGGTGAAGCCAGTGTTTGCTAAGGCTTATTTCTGTGCCTGAGCATCAGCTCCTCACCCAAGGAAGCTGCAACCAAGGGTTTCCAGAGAACCCCAGCCCTGAGGGTTTAAACCACATGAGCACACTCACAGCCACCCATAAACATCCCCTGAGCAAAGGCTGAGCACACCAGGAAGTTCAAAGGTCCATAAGAAACACTTAAATAAGTTTATTTTAAAAAAATTAAAAACAGACCCACAGTTTAAAAAAAAAAAAAAAAAGTTAACTGGGAAAATGTTTTGAGTAAGTTCAAAAAGGCACAACTCTGTGTAGGAACCAGGCACTGCTCTGTGTTATAAAGGGCCGCAGTCATCTGGCTGCTGGCAGCAACGCGGCTGTAAATAAGCAGCGGCTGCAGGTGAGCAGCTGCCTCCTTTCCCTTTGCAAAGGGGCAACCAGCTGTGCAGCTTTTCTTTTAGTTGATGGCAAAATAAAACCGTCTACTTGTTTTTAGGGCTCCAAAAATGCACTCCAACAATGAGGAAATTAACGTAAAGGAAAAATAAAATAACATGTTGTGAGCAGGAGACACCTGAGATTAACTGGGGATATGAAAAAAGCGAGTCCAAATGAGGGCAGCCAGGTGGTGATGGGTGTTGGTGCTGCCTTCAGTTCACCACAGCCTCAGAGAACGACCCGAGCCCAGCTCCCAGCCCCTCGGAGGCTCGGCTGGGCCCAGGACTTGGCCTCTGCTCAGCAGCAGCCATGGTGCCAATGGGCCTGGCCTCGGCCTATGCAGCCACCCCGAGCAGGAGGCAGCAAACACCCCAAAAAAACAACCAACCAAAAGCCCTCCCCATCCCACTTTGTTAAAAAAAAAATAAATTAAAAAAAATAAAAACGGACATCAGCATCTCCCTGGGGAGGAGAAAAGCAAGTGGAGGTGCCAAGCGTTAGCTGTGCAGGAGCAGGGCGTGAGCACCCCAGGCCCTGACACAGCTGCTCCGGACGAGGCCTCCTCCAAAAAGCAGCAACAAACCCAACCCCGGCCGTTATGTAACGGCTGACAAACGCCTTTTGTTATGCAAGACGAGTGGGAGAAAAGCAGCATCTCTGCCCTTCGTGGGGAGGGAACTGCAGCGGCTCCCTGCTCCAGCACAAACAGCAGGCTGCGGGTCCAGGGGGGGACAGAAATAGCCTGTTTGGAAACGCCTCGTTATTTAGATGAGTGGGCATAAAAATACAGAATCAATATGCAATTAGTAAGTGATTGAGGTTGGCAGCGTGGTAATTTGATAATTTTGAGAGTTTTATTAGAGAGAGGCTGGCAGAGCAGCCATCCATTAGCCTTACTCACCAGACTTCTTAAAGGTGGATGGAGATCTATTATCCTGTTTCCTCACATGTGAGCTTTTAGGCCCTTTTTTAAAAAACAAATTAAAAAAAAAAAAAAAAAGAAAAAAGAAAAAGAAGAGCCATGACATTTGAATTTGAACACTGGTCCCAGCTCAGTTTATAGACTTACTGAAAGCATCAGAGCAGCCCCACTTCTTGGCACAGAGCAGAACAGAGCCACGCGTCCCTGTGTGATCCACTGGCTCTTGTATGCTGCCAAAAGCTCTTTCACTGTGGGAATTAGCCCCATGCCTCAGTCCAACTTAGTCTGTGGGAGCGAAGGAATATCTGAAGCCCTAGAACATCAGGGAAAAAAAAAAAAAAAAAAAAAAGCGATCAGCGTGACCCTAGCAACACAAACCCAACCTTTTTCCCCTGGCATCTCCTACCTAGGAGGATGCTGTCACTCTCCCACCGCAGTGCCATGCTGTCACAGGGACCGCTGCCCCCAGCCATCCCAGTGCTCCAAGCACCACAAGGCGACAGTGACATCCAGTGGCAGCGCACACCCATCCCCACACAGGCACCTCCCGCAGCACCAGGGCTCAGCACCCACATCCCACTGCACACCTCGGCCTTGGTCCAAAAAATGGCCACTAAACAGCACCGCCAGCTGCCCACCGCCTTCCAAAGGGTCTGGGAAACGCTGGTCCTCTGGAGAGCACACCAAGAGGGATTCTTGCATTAAAACGCAGGCGTTGGGTGCCCAGATGCTGAGGTTCCCAGCCCACGTGGGTCTGTGAAGGTCAGTGGGGATCCCACATCCAGCAGAGCTCATGGCACAACCACGGGGCGATGGTTTGTGGGGCAGCACGGGTATTTCTCAGCCACTGCCACCCCACAGGGCCGTGGTGAAGCAAGAGTTGTTGCCCAAGCATGAGTCAGTGTTTGGTCATCTAAATATCCTTAGAAGTGTTTTTTTTTGTTTGTTTGTTTGTTTTTTTGTTCTTTTTAAGCTGTTATGCTGTCCACCAGAAAGCACAGATTCAGTTCCAGGAACAAACCTGAGTGAAACAAGCAGGAGTGGCCCTACAACAGCTGAAACCTCGATGGAGGTACCAGAGGCGTCCAGGAACAACCAGGGCACAAACCAGGACACAGAGGCCATCACCATGAATGCACCCACCGGGGCACAGCCCAGTGGTGAAAATGATGGCTGAGGTATTGCTGCTGGGAGCTCGGGGCCCACGGGCACGGCCAGGGACAGCATTGCCCTGTTCAGGCAGAGCCACCCACACCTGGCTTTTTCACAAAAACAATCAGCCGGTGAAGGTGCAAGCGGTGGTGGGGCTGGAGAAGTCAGGCAGGTTGAACTGCTGTCTCAGAGGAGACGCACAAATAGGAAAATCAGCAGGAGAAACTGCTCTAGCATAAGGCACTGAGGCAGCAGAAGACATCCCTTTGGTGGCCTATGCCAGGGGAGGTTCATTAGCACATTTTTGCATAGCAGTCAGGATGCTCAGAGCATGCTTGTGGTTTGCCTTTGGGCCCATCCCCACAAAGCCACGCACGCTCTCGGCGTGGAGCAGAAACGCCGACCAACCTGTCGCAGGTGCACTTGCTAACCAGAGCTCCTGGCAGCCTGGCTGGTGAGCCCAGACCCTGCCATACACAAACCCTGAAGAAGGTAGGAAAAAGGGACATCGGGGCAATTGTTGGCAAGATCAGCTCTGCCACAGACAGGTGCCACAGTCTGCCCACAGAAGGATTTGGCCCACACACACCAGTTTTCAAGCTGCTAAAATGCAGCCACGTGTCCCGTGGGAGTGCTCCTGCTCACAAACCATCTTGTTTTTCACTTCCTTTCTCCCAAAACTCTCTATTTCCCTCTAAAAGAGCCCAGCCTGCTATCAGATTGTTACATATCATAGCTGGTACATATGTAACAGCTAAATTTTACCCATTTAAAATCCAAACTGGTAAAACGGAAAGTCAAAAGCCAGGAACTAGCTAGACAGCATGGTCTGGGAGGTGAGCAGGAGTCCCACACTAACCCCCGGCTCTGCAGCTACAGGCAGTCCTCCTCCCCCTGTCTGCTCCACTGCAGAAATGGACCAAACAGATCCTGCCAAGTTCCTACAGTGAGAAACACATCAGAATCATAAAGCATGTGCAATATGAAATGTTAGGAAGGTGTCAAGGTTTGGGAGTCACTGGTTGCCTGAGAGCCTGGGTGGTGAGGGTCTGTCCGGAGCAGCCCTGTGCTCCAATCTGCCTGGTGGGGATGCAGAGGGGCAGCGGCTCCTCAGGGGACTCGGCCTGGCCCTCCCACTCACTTTGTGTTCTTTGCTTTTAAGGTTCTCACGGACAGCTCAGATACCCACAGAAAGGAATTAATCTGGGATCATCACCCAGCACCGTACATAGAAAGTATGCAATAAAAAGTCCTCGTGGTTTCATGAAACTGTAAAATACTGCATTACTTGCAGCGTCATAGCAACAAGCTTCGACCCAAGCGAAATGAAAATGATGTTATTTAAAAATCACATGATCTTATTCATCCTTAGGCTGGAGTTTCCTAGCAGCTGTGCACCAGCATTAAGGCTCCATTAGGGATGCATAAGCATCAGGCCTACCTTTACTACATTTTTCCTCTTGTACAAAACCTAAGAATGGAAGAGCAGCGTGTGGGAAGAGGCAGAGAGCTCCACCTTTCCTTGCTATGGAAGGAAACCTCGTCTGACAAAGGCAGAATCTGTTCCCATGCAAACACACACACAACCCCTCCATGTGGCCGCACTGACCTGGGAGGAAACACCAAAAGAGGAAGAGGCTGGGGTGTGGAACATACTCTGGTACATCAAAAAAAAAAAAAAAAAAAAAAAAGTTTCCTAACTTCCACACATACACACATGCTATTTCAAACCGTCCCAGGCTCATAAAGCCCAGGAGCCAGCACGAACATCGGCGGGCCTAGCAGACACTGCAGCAGCTATCCACTCATCCAGCCCGAGGTGGCTGTAGCCCTGTTGGACTGCGGCTCAGGAAGAGACTCATTAGGGAGCTAACACTGCAGGACAGGAATAATTAGAAGAGAAAACCTGGCTGGCTTGCATTTTAGGATTCACTAGGCTTGATTTTCAATATTTCTTTCAGCTAAAGGTTATAAGCTTCCCCCATAGCACACAATGCATAAGCCAATAACACATGTAGCTGCATCAGAAAAACACTGTATGCCCTCAAAATGTCACCCTTGCTTAAGACAAAGCTGAGCAAGATTAAAGCCTGCTCAAGTCTGGATTATTCCACATTTTTTCCAGTAGGACTTGAGGGAACTCAGAAGTGACAGGAGAGCTCTCAAGGAAAACTGAGCTGTGCCAGCAATCACCCCACCAAGTCCCCCACAGATGACATGGGCAAAGGAAGGCAAGGAGAAGCGTTCCTGCACTGAACGTATTACATGAAAACCTTTGGCACAAACTACAGAAATGCATCAGTGCCTCTAATGCAGCATCACTAGGATTGTTTTCTCCTGCCGTGCAATGCTGGAGGCTGGCAGGCAGCAGTGCTACCAAGCACAACTGCAGGACTCGCAGCTCCACGCGCCTATCCTAACTCAGGCCGGTTGCTCTTTTCTGTTTAAATGCAGCATCCGGGAATTCATGGAAGTCTTGCACAACCTTGGGTTTGGCTCTAAAGAAAAGCAAGATTTTCATGCTTTTTATGAAGTGCCAATGTGTAACACAGAATCAGCAAAGAAAAGAACAAGACAAAAAAATCCCCCCCAACTAAAACCATAAACCTGAAGAGATGCAGAGGCCCCTTGTTGACAGCTACACTCAGGACAGTAAAGCTCATACTTTGTGCCACAGAAAGCAGCAACATTCCTGGCAAAAGATGTCAGGAATAAGCAGAACTGGTGCTGCCACAGCGGGTAACATACGCGACCCCAATGCTCCAGACCTGCAGCCAGCCCGGATGAACACCCAGCGCCTCAGATAGCCCAAGGCTACATTTCTTTTAATTCTTAAAACAACAACAAACCACCACAACAAAACACCACCACCTCCCCCAGAGCAGCTCACCTCAAGCCATATTTAGGGGAATTGTGGTTAAATTTCATCAGCCTGAGAAGCTGCGCGCTACTCGTCACAGTGCTGACTTGCTGATGTCAGCTTTCGGGTGATCGTTCCCCAGACTAATCAGGGAAGAAAGTCATCAGTGGACGGCAGCTTTCATCCAGTTTGTTTCATTAACTCCCCAACAATCAGCAAGATGGCCTCACACCTCAGCTTCCAACAGCACTCACGGTACCCTTACCTTGCTAGGAACAGTTTTATTTCGCTGGTGGTGGTTCTTCCCTCAAAATGTCACCCCCAAAATGTCAAAGTTTCCCTGAGGAAAAGGGAAAGAATTGAGAAAGTTGTGTGGGTGCCTGGTGGCTTGTATCCTTCACCCATTTAATTTGCATGGATAGGATATATTGGGTTACACAACCACAAAGGGCAGGGCCACAGCCCTGACTTCAGCCTCAGCCTCTGGAATCATCCTCATTTAAGATGAGGTGAGCCCTAAGGGGGTAAGAAACCAGCTGGCAGGCCCCATTCCTGACTGCTGCCAGGGGCTCAGGCTTCAGAGGCGCCCCACGGGCTCAGCCACCACCACAGCTCACGGTGACACCCGTGGCACCGCACTCCCCACCCACAAATCCTTCATGCCTGTGCCAAGGTCTGAGTGTTTTGGGTTACAGTGAGGGGCCAGATGAACACGAAGCAGCTGGCACACGCAGTAAATCCAGGGTAAAAACCTCCAAAAGCACAAACAAGGACCAGAAACAGCTCCGTAGTGCCATTTGCTGTCTCCTGGAAAAGGCTCCTGGAGGGCCTCATTCCAGCAAAACAGGGACACGGAGACCCCTGTGAGGTGCAGGAACAAAGTCCCCACCTAAATGCTCGTCACAGACATCTTGCACAGGCCCCCAGAGCATGAGGGCTGAGGCTGGGCCTGCAGCCCTCCCAAGCACCAGAGACACGGGCACAGAGCAGGGCCAGGCCTGCTCCTCCTCAGGAGGCCTCGCCGGGCCACAGTCACCGTCCAGGAGCCTTTACACAGCTGGAGAGCGTAGGAAGTTGCACGGCTTTTCATCAGTAACAAGCTTTTAGGGGATTTTGCAGGTAAGTGTGCATAAATGGTCAACTGAGTTATCAATGAGACAAGGCGAGAGGGGAAAAAAAACGAACCAGAAGGAACGGCAGCACCTCCCCATGTGCAAACACTCTTGTTTGTGAGCATACACCTGAACACAGCCCAGGGGAGCAGCCAGGGCGGCCTTTTCCCTGTGTCTGAAGACATTTCAGATTAAAGCTGGTGGCAGGCTCACAGCACAGCTGAGCACGACCTCCCCTCTGGTGGAAAGGGGAGGGCTTTCTCCCTCTCATTTCTACCAAGAGCTAAAGCTGCTGTCGCACACCGATACCGCCATGCTGACACAGCGTGGTCTGAATTACTGAACTATAAATGCAGCTTTTTAATCTATTTGGGGAGTGTACTGTCTGAAGATTTCCATTAAAAAACAATAGAAAAGCTAAAGCTACCAAAACTTACAGCCCATATAAATAGCTTCATTCGGTGCTTCTCTTTTCTAATACAACTGCTACGGTATCTGAAGATCCAGGGTGCAAAGGCAAGCACGCTTACAACAGAACATGCAGTAAAGGATATCAAAACACAAAACCAAATGGGCCGGCTATGATGAAAACACCCCAAGTTAAGTTTTCCATAAAATACCAATCATCTATCATCTTGCTTCAGGCAAATTAAATCAGCCTTCTATGGCACCTGCTAGTAATAAAGGCAGTGATGGTATCAGAAGTTATCCAAGCGACGTTTACACTGTTTTCCTAACAGAGTAAAACAGAATTGCCCACTCAGTGACCCATTCTCCCTGCCGTTACTGGACTGCAACCACCTTGCATCCCGCACACAACAGGGAGAGGAGAGGTGCAAGGTGACAACAAGAGGACCCGACCCCAGTAAGGTCCGTGGTTTCCTCCCATCCCAAAGCAGCTGGCTTGGATGCACTCTGGGGCTGAAGCACCAGAATAAAGGTGCCAGTGGCAAAACAGTCCAAAGGAAACAAAGCTCAGACCCGCTGCTGGCTGAGCCCTCTGCAAGCTGCACTCAGACAAAGTCACCTCCTAGCCCTGCACTCCCTTGTTCAAAGGCAGGTACAGCGACAGCTCAATACCCATTTTACACAGGTTATGATAAAGAAAGGGGGCAGGTATTTATCAAAAGCAAAGTCTGAACCAAATTCAATTCAGATACTTCAAAATGCAGGAACACTATATTTATTGGGTCAATATTTCATTTCAGCAATACAATTACAGAATATCACAATGCTGGTTACAAACATAGTATGGTTTGATGGTTACAAATAATGTCGGGCACTGCAGTCTGTGAGAAGTGGGATACGAAACGTTAGTCTTGACACAAGTAGGGTGGTCTTCCAAATCTAGTAATGTTCAAGATATTTTCATATAAACAACTGTGGCACTACAGGTAAAGATTCTGGTTTAGAGGTGTTTTTGTATAAGTAGTTCAATTTATACAGTTATACAGTTCAAGCAACATCTTTTTTAGAATGCTATTAAATTAAAATCCCCTGTAGTTCAATAAAGTATAAAAATAGTACTGAACCTGGTAATATTCAATAAAATGTAGAGTTCATTCACATCATTAAGTAGTAAAGAAATTGTAAAGTTCTAGTTACCATGGCAACATTGCTTCCCATAAAGGAATATACATAAAAGAAAAAAGTTACACATATGGTACCTGCGACAATTATTTAGTGATCCAACACTGAACTTGTGCACCACAAACCAAGTTTCTAAATATCTCTATATATTTATATAGTATATATCTTTTTCATCTTAAAATTTACTTTTGAAAAAAAAAATGTGCACTTCAACAAACTCACTAAGGCCACTCATGCTATAGATACCTAGGATTGCAATGAAATATTGTTAAACAAGACCCTAGAGCACGCACCTTTATATCACCAAAGGGAAACCTGTTTCACTGCCTAAAACATTCCTGAGATTTAGGGACAAAAGCATTACCAGTGCTGTCAATTTTCTGCACGCAGTTTAGTTTATCTCTAGGTAAAGGAAATTTCTTCCCTGCTTCTCACAGAAATCCTCAGAAGGCCAAGAAACAAAACGTGCAACAGGCCGTACGTGTCAAACATGAAAACACCCACAACAGTCAGATTTGCAATTAACATTTGGCCAGTAATTTTCTTATTATAGAAACCATAAGGGAAAAAAGGGAATACAATGAGCTTCGGATAAAATAAAGTCTCCGCACAGGCAGCAGACGGAAGGAGTTTTGTTTAGAGACTGCTAACAGCAACACCTCTCCCACGCTACTTGCTGCTAGCCTGCAAAGTTGCATCTGATCCATATAAATTAAGTAAAGTTTTTGTCAATAGCTTCAATCATGTTTTAGGCACGATGCATTTTCCTTCTTGTATTCTACCAATACATCTGATTCTAAAAAGGAAATCAAGTTAAATGTGCATTTTCTGTACCATGAGAAGCAGCGCAACGGCACCTTTAGCAAGTTTCAGACTGCAGCACATTTAGAGAAAAACTTCATTTTTAAAGGTAATTAAAAAAAAAAAAAAAGAACACTGTTGTCCTAATAAGTTAGATTTCAACAACAAAAAGACCTTCAAAATTCTTTAACAAAAACCCCGTGTGAAAAAAAAAAAATTAAACACCAGGTATACAAGTAAAGTGTGCACATGAAGACCAGCATGCAGAGGCAGACACTGCCTGGTCAGAGTTAACATCGTGCTACAGAAGTGACCAAACAACTGTTTGGGGCCAAATAGTTGCTAGGTGTTGTACTTCAAGTAACTGAGGGATATGCTTATTTTCGAACATTGCAGAAGCAAATTTCCCCTTCCCCTTTTGTCAGTTAAGTCTTTGCAAGCTTTTCCCTTTCCACAGACAAGTCACCCAGAATAGCCCAAGTCCCAGTGCGGGAATCCTGATATCTCATTCTTCCCTCTACAAATTGCAGTGTTTGCTTCAAACAAGACATACAAATAACCAATTCAAAAAGCTTCATGCTGAAAATAAATTGAGGGCTTAAACAACAGTTAATTTTCCATAAGGTGACACCTGTCCTCACCACTTGTTTCCAGTTACTCGAGTGATTCAATTACTTACCATCAAGATAATTCTGAAGATGCATTTCATTGGAGGTGCGAGCCCTGTTCTCCCCTTTAGCACCAGCACCAGATAGCACTCTCAGCTAGTGGTAGGTGCATTGTACACATATAAAATGCCAATGATTAATCAACTTTATTGTTTCATGGCTGGCTAACTGAATCTCAGCAGACACAAGGTCTCCCACCATGCACAGTGGTTAGACGTAGCCCCCTTCTCCAATACTTACAATCAGATTGTAAAGTACTGACAAATTGACAAAAGAATGCATTGAAAACTTGTGTTAGGGCTAAACATAGGACAGGAATTCCTCATTTCTACCTCTAGTGGGAGGGAGGTGCAGGGTCTGTGTTGGCAAGTTCTGTACTAACAAGCCGCACGGTACGGAGAACACAGTGGATAATGCTCTGCTCCTTTAGCTCTACCTAGTGCAGAAGAAGTCATGGCATAATGATGAAGCAATACAAAGAAACCCAATCCAATCACACTGGAGCTGCTCCTGCCCTTACAGAGGGACAAGTCATTTACCTTCCTCTGAAGTCACCCAATTTTACTCCTTTTTTCTCAGGCATATCAAACAACAAGCTGTAACAGCAGAGACAGTGACAGAGTGACAACAAGCAGCACATTTTACATATCGTCTCCACATGCCAATACAGACAGCTAAGTTCTTCTGAGAACACCACCAGAGAGGCAGAACCCAAAACTAGAAAGGTCAGTTTGGTTATTGCATGGAGAGTGCATCTGCAGCAAGGACAGCATTAGGTGAAGGCTCTGAGCTACGGCATGCAGAGCAGGCGACAAAGCATTTTGTAGCTGCAAAGTTGTTGTGCAAAGCTTCAGCACTTTGACAACTTCAGCAATCAGCCCCAGCTACCTTTCTCCAAAATGTGCGTGCCTTGGCACGACTGGAGTTACTGAAGTGCTACAATGAGAAGTTCAACCCAACAGTTGGGTCAGGATTTAATTTAATCACATGAAAAGCACGCTAGTAGTCCTACAAGGAGCACTGCAAGTGCTCTTCTCCAAGTCATGTTTCCTGGCCAAAGTCCACCATCCAAGAGAACCCTGGGTGATTTATAGGACATCAATTCCTTCCAGACAAGCCAATGCACCGAGGTATACAACATGCTGGTGAAGTAGCTTGGGGAAAGAGAAATGTACATCCACTCAGAAGGTCTGAGAAAACAGAATAAAGCTACTCATTGAAGGAATTGAACAAACATTTGGTTCTCAGCAGTGTAACGCCTCCCTAACCTGTCCCACACCAGGAGCCCTCCTGTTTGCTCACCTCCAGTCAAGCTCACCACCCCAAACAAAAAACCTTGAGACCTTTGAGTTTTGTCAGTCAAAATCTGGAAGCAGAGACCTAACTGCAAACCCCAGGCAAGCAGCTCCAGGTGCTCTAAGTGGAAATCCACATACCTGGTTTGAGGCTGTTAAACGTTTCTGCTGTACAGAAGCTACACAGCTTGTTTAGGACAATTTTAAGCACGCCTCCTCTGCCCAAGTTCTGATACTAATATTACAAGCTTCATTTAAGTAGTTTTAACAGGATTAAAGAAGAGAATTCATAATATCTAATTCATCAGTGCCCTAACGTATGAACATTTGGGGATGAAAATATTTTGCCTGGTAGACAGCCAAATTTGCTTGTAGTACCTAAAGCACTCGTAAACAAGAAAAATTACTATGAAGAAATTAGATTTAAAATCCATGCATAATTTTAAGTTGGCTTTTCCTTGAACAGCCTTTGAGGATACACTGCAATGTAAGTCTTAATACCAGCTTTTTTTTTTTTTTAATGCAAATACTACTTGTTATGTCAGTAAAAGTATTCCAAGTGTGCAATCATTAAAGCTGCACTAATTATATAACTGCATTTTCAAGTTGGTGTTATTCAGCCTTTCCCCCAAAATTATACTCGAAGGCACCAGTATACGAACTATTGGCCTGTACAATTTCAGTTCTTAAAAGAGCTGTTAGGCTCAAAGTAGTGTCTGACATTTGTTTCTTCTCTGCACTCTTTTTTGAAGACCATCAAGCAGCTTTCCCTGTCCCAAGCTTTATAAACAAATTAAAAAACAAACCCCAAACAAAACATCCAGTCCAAGTCCTGCAGGAACCTTGCTTGCAGAGCCTCAGCTTGGACTGAACTTTCATGGCCAAGTTACAAACCCCTGAAAATAGGGGGGGAAGGGAACCCAAACTGACAGAATCCTAACTATAGGAGCACTGTTTGTGCCACTATAATAAGAACTGAGGTAACAGCAGTGAGTTGTTTCTAGTTTGCTATGTTACACAGACTTTCAAATGAGTATTACCTCAACAATTAAAAAAAACAAAAAAACAAAACCAAAAACCAGAAAACAAAACCCACACACTCAAAAAAAAAAAAAAAAAAAAAAAAAAAAAAAAAAAAGCAAAGCAGCCCCCATGCCCCAACAGAAGAAAAATTAAGACAGGCTAGTGAGATAGGCATTATTAAAGGATCTTTACAGCTGACTTCTGCTTTTTAAATTAACGTAAAGGAATCAGTTTCTGGTTGTACTATCATTTAATGTAGAAACGAAGCATCACAAAAAAGACCTGTTGTGCTTTTTGGCATTTTCCACTGACCCCTGCAAACTGTACAATAAGCTGTGTTCTCCAGAAACATAAAATTGAACTGGATTGTAATACAAAACTATTAACTGGTATAAACAAGTTACTGCCTCAATTATTAGAGTAAGCCCATTCAAAAATAAAAATAAAAAATGGCTGCAGCAAATAGTTAAGCATTTCTAGTTTTTGTGTGTGGCATTGACATTAATATCTGTATACGCTTACTAAGTAAAGACATGCCATCGCAACTGCTAAAGAACGTTCACTTCCTAGTTTTGTATCTATTACATGAATATAATTTTGCACTGATCATACATCTAAATGAAATAATTCTACCGTAAAAGTGAATGCAGGGGCAGAAATATTAAATTAAAGCCACTGGTCCAAAAACTGTTTCTAGCAGGCTGGTCCACTTTTGATTTTCCTGGTCCTGTTAGGAAAGTTAGCACTCTTGGTTGGTACCAAAGAAAACTAAGATTGCTGGTCTACTGGATCTTCTATCGCTTACAGATGAACACTGGTCCAGTTCAGGATATTAACAACAACATACGGTGGTTATTTGCTCATCAACTTATCGTGGTTCACAAAGAGTACGTTGCTCTCTCCCAAGTGGTTCTTTGCCACTTCTCTTCGTAAGGTGGCAGCCAAGGCATTCTCCCTTTTCTTAATATTTGTGATTAACTTTGCTACAATGCATACAGTAGAAAGACCTCTCTTGTGTAATTTCTTACAGCATAGCATTTATTCTTTCTGTATATCAGAAGAAAGCTCTTGATGAAACCTTCCATTCATAACAAGAATGCAACTCTTTTGAACTCAAACAGTTTTATTTAATGTTCTCTTGCAGACTTTCTGTAAAGTAGGTTCTTTCGAAAGAAGAGAGAAAGTAGGGGTTTTCTGGAATACCCAGTTAAAAATGTGAGCCGAACTAAACATGCCATACACATGCTGATAAGAATTTAACACACATTCATCCGTATGGGCACTCTTCAGTAGACTGGACCAGTGTTTCAATGCAAATTCCAGCCCCCAGAGAACTACATGGTTTAGATTTCACAGTATGACTTTTCCCCTGTAATCTGGGGAAAAAACCTTAACTGGTTAATTGACCAAGTTCTTAGCTACTCTGTCCATCAATGTTCTGAGACATCAGAAAAGACTGGACCACTTCTTCAGTGGATTGAGGGCTGGTGCTTACGTCCTCCAGAGCATCTGTAACAGAGAACTGCCGATCTCGCAACCGGTTCCAATTGGCCAAAATATTGTGGTACTCAAAAACTTTCTCATAATTGCCAATGGAATTGTACAGTTTAATGAGACCTCTGTAATCGTATTCAAGTCCACTGTATCCTTCACCAAAAAGCTTCTTTCCTGAAGAAACCCAGAAGATAACAAAATTAAAAGGTAATCCACCCACACATTGTACATTACTTCTCATGTAATTTTTATCATCAACACGAACCTTTTTGTTACAACATGCAAGCTTCCTGGACAATGCTTGACATTGATATCAAACTTTTCCTTTTAACAGAACTGTAAATTGTCCTCAAGGACTCTAGTAGCTTTACATGCGTAGATAGAATCCAGCAGCCTCATACAGAAGGCAATCATTTTGTGTCACGGTTTCAGTCGAAATTCATTTAAAAAATTGTTTTTCGATCTTCTACCTTAAAATCTTTTTTTTTTTTTTTTTGGTAACCCACTCTACATGTTAACAATATGAAATAAGAATGCCTGTTTCAAAATCGAGCCAGAGCAAGGCCCAAAGATGACTTAATTTGTAAGTTCACAGCAAGTGATAACGGGAAAAAAATAATGAATATACAAGGAAGGCTGACAGGCACAACAGCTTTCCATTTCTTTCAGAAGGTAAACACATTCTGCATTTAAGTTACAGCTGCAACTCCAAAATGTAGTCTGAAGACTAACACCAAAGCTTTTAATCGGTCATGTTTCTAGATGTTTTCAAGAGTGAGTTCTGATCCAAACCTGGGAGTGATAAAATCCTGTAATTCAGTTCCAAGCAGAACATTTAAGAGAAAGTATTAGACTTACATTGAAACCCTATAGAAATACATGTATTGAATTAAGTTCCTTAAGAAGTGTTTTAAAGGTTTTAGTAATAAGCTTTTCTGTGGTATTAGAAGTATTGTATAGAAAAACATTGGAAGAATCACCTACCAATTGCTATGGATCTCAAATAAAGCTTTTCAGCATTTTCATATTGATTCATATCATAGTTATAGAGAGAAGCTAGATGTCCTACTGACAGGGCAACTTCATAATCTTCTTGACCCAGAAGCTGCTCCTTAATCTGAATTGCCTTGATGTGCATTTCCTCTGCTTCCTGTGAGGAACAAATTCATATAGGTCAGACTACTCACCATACTGCAATAAATAAATAAACACAAATAAAAAGGGGAGACAAAGAAACATAACTATTTAGTGGCTGAATAGACTGCACTATTTCATAAAAGGCATAAAAGAACTAGGTATAGGTAAACCAAAATAAAAGCCAAAATACTGTTTTAGATGGTCAAATAGTATCACTTCCGTCTTCAGAACTGATATCATGCCGTCTCTGAAGGCATCTTAATTATTGTTGCACAAAGCAAAGTGAGACATTAAAGTGCAAGTTCTTCAGCCATAAAAATATCAACTGAGGTTATGAATTATGGCCATAGAATATATATATATTTTTTTACAGTGACAGAATTATAGAGGTTTTGTAGATCTTAGGACATTTATATTAGCATAATCTTACCTTAAACTTTCTCATGGACTGATACAGTCTTCCAAGGTTGCCATAGTGTTTTGCTGTCTGTACATTAAACTCCCCAAAAGCTTTTTTAGCTAACTGAAGCGAGGACAGATGTAAGTCATGAGCTTCTTGAAGTAACCTCTGCTCAGTTTCCTTGTTATGACAGTCTATTGCAATCTCCTCCAGGATAAGTGCTGAGTATAGCAAAGGGGAAAAAAAAAAAAAAAACAAGCAAAATTACTGTGTTCTAAACACAAATATGCTAACTGTAGGTAGCAGAAAGTCATCTACCCAAGAGACCTCGGGAGACATCTAAATCAGGCTTTATGACTATTACAAACTGCTTTCAAATGGTATGACCAGAGTTACCAACCTGTTTTTTAAAATAATCTATACTTTTACTATTTTTATTCAATGAGTCTTCCACTAAGTTTTAAAGAAGTTATTTGTATTTTACAAGTGTGTTGATAAAGAGCACCGAGGACTGCTGAGAGTCTTCTAGAGTGACCTCCATTTGGGAAAAAGCTCAAGTTACAATGCCTCTGTTGGGGAACAGGATAAACATATCTGAATGACTGATCTCCACTGACACAGTGTTAAACTGTTCCAAGTAATGCAATTAAGTGTACTACCTTTAACTCTCTTTGAAGATGCCAAGAGCAGATGGTCTTCTGGGAGAATATGTGTTATAATGCCAATAGCACGTTCAGCATGGAATCTGAAAAAGTTTGAATAGATGCAGCCAGAGTTTTATTTAAATTAGCAGCTAACTGGTAAAGTGTTAGAAACATTAATAAAATGAACAGATACATTTAAGTTCTAATCAGAAAATCCGTATAATTTAAAAACATTTTTCCCCCATTTACAGTACTAGATTTACTGCCATTACCTCAGGTCAATGTACTCACAGTGCATTGTCAAATTTTCCAGAGCTGTACTGGTGAACATAAGAAGAGTAAGCCAAGTCTTCATGAGCTGTAGCTACATGTATGTTTTTACCTCCAAATACTGACTGCCGAATATCGAGAGCTGTCTGAAAGAGTTACAAGAACACCATTTCATCAGTCAATACAGGGGAGAAAAAAAAGAGAAAAAGAACAACAACTTATGAATTTCTGTCACTGTAAAAAAGGAAAAAAAATTGTCGGATGGTTCTGAAATTCTACAGGCCTATACATACACACTTGATGCAGTAAATATATATAAAATCCATTTAGGATTCAGGACAAAACGGAAACAAAAACTAATGGTTGTTTTCATTATTTTTTGAAAAAGCTTGCCAGTAACTTAAACAACTTTTGTCTCTTTCCCTGAATTAACTGCATGCAAATTACACTAAAAAAAATTGAGAGCTTTTCAGTAATAGAAACCAAAGACAGACATTTAGTTTTGCTGCATACCTGATAGATCGCAACAGATTGGCATATATTATCTACGTTGAGCAAGTAAAATCCATAGTCTAGTAGCGTATCAGAATATTTGGGGTGCTTGGCTCCAAAATGCTCCCTGTAGGAACATACTTATATTACAAACTGAGGCAAGTTAAGCATAAATTTTAAAACGTATTTTTTGGAATGCTACTTACCGAGCAAGGTATACTGCATGTTTTATCAGCTGTTCAGCCTTCTTAAATTCACGTTTTACAACACAAGCCTAAACATATAGAAATGAAGCACATGAAGAGGTGCACACTCAGAATGCATCTCCTCCAGATATTGGCCCAGTTGCTCACTATTACTTCTTATTTCAAAATATTGTCATTGTTACTAAAGTAATTTTCAACTTATTTAAGAAAAAATTACAGATAACATTTATAAACATATTTTATTCTGACATAAATGACTAAACAGAGTGCTAGTACTGCACCTAGTCTACAAAGATGGAAACAGACCACCTGTTCATGGAATGCTCTCAGGTTAACTCTGTCATGAAGTTCCTTTGAACAGCTGTAAGTCAGTGTCAGGGAAAAGGAAAAAAAATCCACACAGCTGAGATAGACCAATTAGACAAAAAACAAACCATAATGCTTACAATACAGACCAGGTTTCCTGAGTATTCTGGAGGTACTACCCATCCTCACCAATTCTCAGTAGTAACTCACTTACAAAAGGAATGTGGAAGATTTTAAATTCACCTTTGAAGCTTGTCGCAAAACATCCACTACTACTTTTACAGGCAGGCCAACTGTGATCTCCTTCATAGCTTCTATACACCATTTGTAAGCCTATTGAACAAAGTCAGCATATTTAGTCTGGAATTTCATAACTAGGCTCTGAAAAATACACTGATCATATACATTACAAAATTAAAAAAAAGTTATTTAGTTGCTTATGTTTGATAAAGCTTTTTCAGCTAAATCTGAGAAGGCCAACTTAAAGATTCCTCTTAAGCTTAATAACTGAACTTGGAAGTATTTTACACTGGTCTAAGTTCTGTATAATTACAATGAATGTAATATATTCTAGAGACAAAAATGTATTCAATAGTCTTTAAGTAATCCTTACAATTCTTATCGTAAACAACAGCTTGCTAGTCAGTGTACTTAGAAGCTAAAAGAAAATTGCAGTTTATGCAACAGTTACACTGAAGTTGCAGTTTTTCTAAACTAGCTGCAAAGTGCAATCTGTGCTTTCCGATTCATTTTTACCTATTAAAATAAGCTTTTTGTAATGTGTCATTTCCTGATAACCAAAATATACTCAGAAATTATATGTGATAAGATTATTAATGATGGATTAAGTACCATTAAGAGCTTGTAGACTAAGAACACACAGAAATCAGTTGGTAAATCAAGTATTCCTCTGGCACTACCACACAAGAACCAAAACCAATCAGGAACTTAAGCGAGAAATACAATATGAATAGCAAGCCAGTCATGAAAAGTCCTAGCAGATTTCATAACCAGTTTCCTGAAGTAAAACAAAAACAAACTAATCCCACTCACCTCATCATAGTGGCTCTTGGCAAAAAGCAGTGCACACAACTCCCCATAGAGTGCTGCTTTGTTTGCTTGCTGACCATGTTTTGCAAGCTTGTCCATGTAAGACTGAGCTAGTTTGAACGTTTCTTCTCCCAAGTGATATTTACAGTTACCATTTCGAACATGCAGCAACCTTAGGAAGACGTAAAGAGATCCTCTAAACACTGAATAAACCATTTCATTATACAGTAGTATCACTGATCTATTATTTGGCATTATACTTACAATAGAACTGGGCTATCATCCCAGCAAAATTGCACTGTCTGAATTCAGTAATACAAAAGAACTGTTTACAGAATACTATTTAAAATACTTGCACAGCAAGAATTTTTACCATTGGAAACATCAAATGATTTTTTCCATGTTGATGAATCATTGTATATCCAGTGCTCAAACCACTCTGCTGTGGCTTTATATTTTATTTTTTCATAAAGTCCATTCCGTACTGCAAAGAGGGGCTAAATTCAGGAAACATGAGCTAAGGTATAGTGCAATATTTTATACCTTTTATGATACATTACACTAGATCTTCCAATAAACTGTTACAGAGGAAGGCAAGATCAATTATGTTTTAAACCAAATGTTTCTCTTCTTTAAACTTGTTTCCTGTAAGCATTTACTCTGAGATTTCTAAGTTACTGTAGCTATGCCTCCTGCAACAGCAAGGTAATACATTCAAATTTGCCCTATAAATTCAGCCTACCCATAATACTCTTCCTATACTTTCTGATTGAAATGTATCATGAAATCAAACATTAACAAGAAAGGAAATAAAGCTGACATTTTCACAAGCAGGGACTGGCAGGCAAGCACAGAGCAGAGAGACAGCCATGCAGAGAGATAATCAAAAGAGAAGACCTTCAAAAACCCCCTGAAACATGCTAAGTAAACAAACACCAGCTTTCCAAGAAGAAACACTGTGACAAAGACCCAGAGGGAAAAAAATAAAAATGACAACTATTTTTCCTTAAATAAATTCTGAGAACTAAACATGATGCAGAAATGCATTGCGTTCTTGGTCACAGGCAGCAGAAAACTATCTAGATGCAATAAAGGCAGGAATTTTAAAGAAACTGGAAAGAAAAACAAAGCAATTGTAGTTTTCAGAGAGGAAACTATTCCAACTAGTGAGATGCTGAGGAGCTGCCATCCATCATCAAATACACGAAGCCCACATCCCACATAATGACGTATGTGAGTGGGGATAATACTGCAGTTTACATATGCACATGGGAAAGACAATATCCAGTACCTTGGTGCGTCATCAGCAGTATCTAAAAACAACCAACCAGAAATCAAGCTAAACCTAATCCAATCCTTTAGATAATAAACTGAAAGGGTTGTGCAGGTTTTTGCTTTTTTTTTTTTTTTAAATGTGATCTAGTTTTGAGTAACAAAAACTCCATTATTAATCCAAAGGAATTTTAGAAGAGAAAGACATAGAATAAACACTTTATAACCTTTACGCTAATAACTTCAAATCTTCTTTAATGTCTGTAATGCTCCCCTTTAGAGTAAAATCATTCTCTAATAGCATAACAAACAGCAACCACAGGGTTACACAACATGTTGGTAAGGCTAAAAACACCAAAAAAGAATTAGCAAAATGTGAAACAATGACATGGGAGAACCATGTATTTGTATTACATATTTGTGCCTTATTGTGTAAGATAGAAAAATTAAAGAAATCAAGCTAATAGGAGCACTACACCTGCAATAAAGTAGTATAAAAGTTTGTATAAGAGATCCCAAATCACATTATTGAGTTTTCTCATATAGTTTACTAGTGCTAGTACAATGAAGAAACACCAAATCATGTCTAGATAATAAAGGTTTACATTTTTAAATTGCATTCTATTAATAATACAGTGCATTAATTAAACCCCTGGAGACTGGACTTCCTAGGTTTTAGAATAGGAAGAGCCACTTCTTAGAGAATTGTATTTTCAAGTGCTGGACTTAAACAAGTTATTCAAGTGGTTCAAACAAGTTATTCTACACTGGGGATTAGACGGTAACAACAAAAAGTTTATCTTACTACCTCGTGACTTTGAAGCTGAGTACAATTACTGCTCTCTCCCACAAAAGGGTTTTTAGAATTTACATACTTTGCACTTCTGAAATCGTTTCAGGATTCTTTTTATTTTATATATTTCCAACTAAACTGTGCTGTTATTTAATTGTTTGGGAGATGCCAATGCATATCTCTCCATTCACACTGCTGCCCAGAGCGACTTAATGTTATATGCAGGCCATCAGCTTCCATTACAAGAACAATGGCTGTCTCTGCCCAAACAGAATTAGCAGCTCCAGTTCAGAAGAAATCATTCTAATGATGGATGTTTTTTCTAGCACAATATGACAATATTTTATCCACAACTGTGTGGGCTGTATATCACTCTCCAACACTGAAAAAATACATAAAATAAACAGCTACTAGCAAACCCATTTACTTCTCATTTACCCAACTACAAACAAGGTGCAGTTTTGTTTTGGAGCAGTTTTCCAAAACAATATTTTTGTCTATATTCAGATAAACAGGATACCTTGTTGTTCATTACAGCAGCTAAAAAAATATATATCTCAAATTTAACTATGCTTACTAGTACATAGGTATTCAAGCCCATAGCTGCAACACACAGAAGAGGTCAGTCACACAATTGCCAATGAAAACAACCTGGCTACTTGCCACTTATTGTATCAGCATCACACATCTAGGTACATGAATGTAAGAGCAGGGGAACTTACCTGAATGGACCCCACTACAGGTCTTGTGAAACCAGCCAGACGCAAAAACTAAATGCCTCCTAAAAACAAATTCTTTTCCAAGAAGTTGTGGCTTAAGTTGTGGCTGAAGGCATCTAACAAGAACTAGACACCTGAATTTACCTAACTACATAATTAAATAGCTCAAGAACATATTGGATCTATTATCAGGAAAAGTATGTTTTCTTTTTATTTCTGCTCAACTGCATTTTTAGCATTCATATTTGGTGAATTCTTCTTGTACACTAAGTGTAATTTCAGAAAACACCAATGCAAAACTCCTCATGCAAAAAAGGTGAGCTCACCTTACACAGCATTCTACTGCACGAAACCAATGAAGTATTTCATCATGAAGGGTGCACAGCTGAAGGCAGGAAAGAAATACCTTCTCAGCATCACTATACCAGCCAGCATCTGATAGGAATCCCCCTGGAGAAAAAAAAAAAGAAAAAAATATTAAGCATCATGCCTGCAAATTTTAAATCCCAAACATTCAAAGAGCAGAGAGCAGCCTGAAATTCTCAGACATTTAAATCCAATATACATAAGACACCAAGTAGCTTTCTAAAACTTATATTCCAAACGTATATACATTATTTAAAAGAAGTTACAGATATTAAAAAGAAAAAAATAGCATTAGCTTAACTGAAGCTTGAATGAAAAGAATATATTTTATAGCTTATCATCAGTTACCTAAAACAAAACCAATCTGAATTGCTTTTTCTTTTACAGCAGAATCTGATTCTGCTATGTAGGAGCACCGTCTACTGAAAGAATAGGCCAGTACAGAAGCAACTTTTACTCCATGGTCCATCAAAGCCTGAAAACAGTGATGAAGCAGATGTCTGAAACAAAAAAAACAAAAACAGAATTTAGTTATACGTAAAGTTTTTAAAACACTGCAGTCAGTTGGCTTGAGTGCCATGAATTCAAATGAGTAGTGATTCAAAGAAGTAACTCCGACCTTCTCTCAAACCAAAACCATATGAATACAGAGTAATTGTCAATCTCAAGGCTAATGGGTTACAGTTGTTGGATTAGCCAACAAATAGAACGAGCGTACACAAAGTTCTTTACAAGGACACCCTCCAGTGTAAGCGATATACAAACTACCCACACATTGTTAGAACTGGAAAACATTTTTAGCTAAATCTCAGAGGGGGGGAAGCCTCAAAGTCCACCCTTGCCCCACAACTCCCACTGAAGTTGCAGATAAATGAGCAGTGATGAACCCATTAACATCACACACGCAACAAGGGAGATATGTCGGAAGACACAAAACTTATTTTGGTTACAAACAATCTGATCTAAAAAAGTCAAGTTCTGATTGTAACAATACAGAGTGGTAATATTTAAAGACAGGAAAACTCTTTAAACTGGGACGATCCTATCAGTTTGATAACCCTTCCCCTAGAATTAGCTGCAACCTAAAGAAACATACTTTGACTGGCCTGTACGTCTTACTCATCTGATTCAGAACAGTCACAACAATGGAGAAAAGTAGAGACCTTTTCCAGATTCAAAGCCCAGATCAAGGGCTAAGAGCTGAAATGAGAACTAACAAAATATTAAGATATTTACCTTTTATCTAAAGCTCGTAGCACCTTCGCAAAAACTTCTAGTTCACAAAATTCACTACCCAGCTGGCATAATCGGCCCTGTTGGTAAAGCTGAAAGGAAGACACAAATATATTTAAAAATTTAAGACTTTGCACTCTCCTGGGAAATTTAACACAAGGATGACTTATGAAGAAACCCAGACTTCAAAGTATTGAAATAGAGCCGGAGTAAATATTAAAAAGTAACAGTTCCACAATCTCCACGCAGGAGCACAACTTTAGTGTTAAAAGCTGAACAAACACAAGCTATGAGAGCTCTGTATGTGGTTTCAAGTTGTTTTTGTCCGCTTTTTTCTTTCTTTCTCCAAACGTCCACTATATTCACCTGCATCATCAAAACAACATGACACCTCAGCTAAAAAACAAAGCCAAAAAACTCCCCAAGCTATCAAGAATTACAATGAATAGCTTCTTTGATACCAGATGCTTTGAAAACATTTTTAAAATTACACAGAATCTAGCAACCAGCATTATTTTAGAATATTTGTAAGTGGAAATCCAAAGCCAAAGCATAAAGGATATAATAAAATAATATATTGTGATCCTAGAAAACTTGAGCAGGCCCCTAGAACAAAGGATGCAACAATAAAATTATATATACAAACAAAAAACACAAGTTCTGTAATGAATGACTCACTGATACCCAGAGCTAAACACAGGCATGAGCCCTGACCCCATTAATACCTGAGCTCACACAAGTAATTCCTGTTTGAGTAAATGGGAATATTCATGTGAATCTGTTCATGAATTTATTAAAAGCAATGTCTAATTTTATGTCCAAATTAATTTTTACCTGCAGATAAGCAAATATATCAGTTGGCTTGCTCACAAAAACACAAACCATGGAGACAGTTCTTTATGCAACGCATAGTTAAGCTGCAGAACTTTCTGCCACATCATGCTATAAATACTAAGAATTTACATAGGTATGAAAATGTCTGTACAAATATACAGCAGAAAAATCCATCGCGGGCTATTAAATCCTGATATCGAAGTCCCTGAACCACAAATGACTGAAAGCTGGGTATGTAATCAAAGAAGCACCACTATATACTTGCCATACTCATATATCCATCCCCAGCTCCTGTCAGAAGCACAGCACTGGATTACACAGGGATGCTCCAGTACAACCATTTATTTTGTTTTAGGTGTTCTAGGACACCCCCCAGTCCTTTATATATATATATATATATATTTTTTTTTTTTTTTGCAAGGCAGTGGCTCCATGGGGAAAAGGACTCATCTCTAGATGCTGCATCTTTCAACAAAGGCCATTTGAGGTCCATTTCTCTCCCGTTTCATGTGTGCACTACGTGAGGCAGGACCAGGACACAACAGTTTATGATCTGACACCAAACAGATTATGCAGTAACGTTTCACACCATCAGGAGCATGCAGGTAAAGCACTACTACGTTGCACTCTTAGTTATTCAGCAAACCCCACTTTTCAATCTACATGCTAAGGTATTCAAACACACACTGCCCAAGGCTGACATGTGTTGGCAGCAAGACTCTGTGCTGTGAGCGAGCAGCACCCTCACTCTGTAAGCAAAGGCTGATAGAACATGCTAGAGGTGTTCAAGCAGAAGCACAAATTTAATGAGAACTTTAACATTCCCCTCTGAGTTCTCATAATTTCTTAAAAAACCTTAATAAGCATCTTCTATCTGTTTGCCTTTTTAACCACAAAGACAGGAAGCAGACGAATTCGTGTTCAAACAAAGCATGTGAGAACATCTCCCCCAGCCAGAAACTTAGTTTTAGTTAACTCTCCTTATAAAAGCACATGACACTGATTTTACAGCACAGTAAGTTTGTTATTTTAACAACAGAACCTACAAAAAAACCTTCAAAAATACTTTGACCTAAAAATGTCAATTGCCAGAAATGAATGTTTTCCTTTTAGTCATCCATTTCACTGGAAAAAAAGGAAGTCCCTTAAAAAAACAGAACAAGTCTGCGTGCAAAGTTACTCCTCAGATAAAACAGTGCCATGTCCCTGTACTTCAAAGAAATCAGTTTCTTCTGAAGCTATTTTCTCTCTGGTAGAGAAAGACCATGCAGCCCGGTGTATTAGAAAACTACTGTTATGGTAAGCAGTCTCATTTTCTCCACACAACTCTGTAAAGGTAACTATCATATATAAAACCTAAAACATATTTTTCACAATCGAAACAGATTACACCTTGCCTAGTATTCCAGTACTGAAGGCAGACATCTTATCAGCAATTAATGAAATCATTTCTGGAAGAAACTAAGACTTAACACCAAGTTATTTTACCAAGACTTGGTCAGAAGGACTAGCATATGTTCAATAACTCGGTTTTCAACCAAGTACATCATAATTTCCCCTCATCACTTTGCTGTGCTACCTAAAAATCCCAGTGGTTACTCTAACACTGCTTTGCCAAATGTTAACTCTAATATGACCTTTTAAAATTAATATATTTATGAAGTTCCATAAACATTTGTCGTAACGTGCCCACTGTTACATGGGATTCTTAAATTCCCAATGAAAAAATGCCCTGGTTGTGGAGGGGAGCCCCGAACCACATCCTCATTTTTGGTACATTTATTATTTCAGGCCCAAAGGTCCAAGCTTGCCATGTGCACACTGCTATTCCCAACGCTGAGATGAGCACTCAGCGCTCAAGGCACCGTTCTTGGATCTGAAAAACAACCGTTTTTTCCTGGTATAACCAGAAATACAGTATCCTTGGAATATTTACCACACTATTCACCCCTTGCCTCGACACGCTGGCAAACATTTGAGGAACCAACTCAGCTTGAAGTCTCTTTAAACTGTTAGAGCTGTTAAAGCAATATTTTCAAACAAAATTTGACATGGAAATAGTGAGTATACAGCAAACAGTGAAGCAATTCCAGTAGACTCAGTAACACTCATTTGCTCATTGAGAAGCAGTTGCAAGTACTGAAGAAATGATTCTCTTGTTAAAGTTCCAGAGAGACAGAATTCCTGACCACAAGCCTTGCTACATAACATGAAAAACAAAACAGTGATTCAAGAAAAACATGCCCTGACAAGAATGGCAGAGGTCTGGACTTCTGGAAAACTATTAATTTCTTAAGAAGGAAGAGGTTAAGTTTTTGTCTAAAAAAACGTATTTGGAGCTTAACAGAGATTTCTTTTTTTTAAAACCCACAGAAAATTGAGTAAGAGCCTACAGTATGACTTCCAACTTGAACAGCTCAAACTGACACATCGATTCTGGCACTGAAGACACGAACCAAGGTATAAGTTTAATGCGTTGCCTTGTTATTTACATATGTGCAGAGTCAAACTGTTCTGCACAGCTATGAGAAAACCACCGTGATCTTCCTTCAGAAACTAAGGCTTACATTTAACCCACAGCACATTGTCCAAAGCATTCAAAAGCTGCATACAGTGGTGTTCCCAGTCAAACATATTGATAACATTAACTTTTAACTTATCTGTTATCATACCATCGCGCCCATATAATTCTGTTAAAGTTCTTGTCAGAGTTCTCTCTCAATAGATTAAGCTGAGCTCTAACTGCTTCCTAGCAAACCCCTAGAAATAAAGACAAAGATGTTAAACTACCAGTAAAAGCAAAGCCATAACATCACAGAGAAAGTGATACAGTATTAGTATCACTGGCATTCTTGGCTGTTTCACTGGGTACAAGAGAAACCTAAAAATACATTTAGCTTTTTAAAATTAATCACATTTTAAAAGCAGATGGAGATTAATTCTAACCAGTTGTAAGAGGACCCTCCAGAAGAACTGTAGCACATGCAATTTGAAAAATATGCTCTTATTGCTCCAGTTTGGAAGAGGTCTGAAAAATAAATATGGATATTTTGGTAAGAATTAAAGATGCAAAGAATTGCATGGAGCTACCCAGCAAGTTTAGTGATGTTCAATAACATACTGTAGAATGCCATGCTAAATGTAGGAAGGATTGTATACCTAAACACCAAAATCAGTATTTAGGAAACAAGTTTGGCTGTAACCCCCCCTCTTTCTCCCCTACTTAACACAGAAGGAAGAAAGATTTTTAGGAATCATTAGGGCACCGAATCAATCTGTTGACAAATGACTCATTAAAGGCCAAGGGGACAGGTGGCAGACAGGCTTAGAAAATAATCAGTTAGAAATGTAGGTACATGAACTCTTAAATCAATTTCAAATCCATCTTCAAAGCATCTGGACAAGGCTAGTTCAATGTGATACTGGGCATAAAAAGGCAAACTTTACGTATTTGAAAACATACTTCTAATTAGAATCTGATCTTTATGAACCTCAAGCAAAATAAACAACTAACAAAAACCCCTCACTGAATAAGCCTAATTTAACAGATAACTTTTGAGCTTATAGTCTTACATACAGAGCACACTTCTTCCAACTTGCTCTTCTTCCTGTATCACATCAGCATTTTTTGTTTTATTTCACATCTACACAGAACTCGTACACTTTGTGTGAAGTACAAACCTTAGAGTCACACATTCATGTGACTCTCCACAGCAGGGAAACCCTATTTTTTCTATCCAGTTTGCTTTGATTTCAAGTTAAATCAGTACGAATGAAATGAAGTAGAAACAGCAATTACTGCTTCAGCGGCAGCTGAACACCTTTGTTCATGTGACCTCATTACCAGAATTATGCTGAGTTCCAGTGTATAAGATTTAACAAGGATACTGAAAAAAACAGGGAAGCCAGAATACATATTACGATCAGAAAACATGCCAGACAGAGGTTCAAAAAGAAAAATAAATAAATAAAATAAAGAGCGAAGTAAATAATAAGAATTAGGAAAACGGTAAGCAAAGGCAAGGAGTTTCAAGCCAACAACATAAGGTAGGATGGTTCAGTTCCAGTCAAATTTAGACTACAGATAAGAGACATATTAAAATAAAGAGCAATAAACATTGCTAAAAAAGCTCATGACATGGTGCTTCGCCTTCAGTGGGAGGTCTTAATTTAAAGAGGGGGTGCTAGATGGATATGATTTAATCCAAAGTGTTTAGGGAAGTCCTCCTGCATGTGCCAGCCTGGAAGTCTAACCAGGTGATGAGAATGCCTGTATGCATGCAGACATATGTAAACCATGTTTGGTTCCCACATACGTATTTCTGACCCCTAGAAGGACAGCAGCATTAATTTAATTAAGCCTGGTGAAGTCACGCTTGTCAGTCACAGCCAGAAGCCCTACAAAATATGACCCACTTGTTCTGGATTTCTGACCTGCCTCCTAAGATACATTGCTTGCTTATGACCTTGTTTGTATTCCTCTGGTCACAAAGATATTCAAACTAAAGATGTACAGCTATACTTCAATTCATAGGTAGCTTATCTTTTCCTCCTTCATCACATACCCAGGAATATGAGGGATGAACCAGATTTACTCTGACCTTATGGAAAAGATGCTTATAATCATTCTTCATCAGTAAAAGCAGTCTCTACTGCAATGCAGAGAACGGACGCTCTATTGTGTGTTGCAAAGTGTCAGCAAATTCCTGTTTATTCATTTTGTTTCATTCAAAGAATAACTAGATGCGATACAAGAGCTTTTATTAGCCATACTTGCTCTTGTTTGGATTACCAGAATACAGGGAAGAGACAATGCTCTGGCTACACATTGTCCAGAAGTTGGAGCTATCAAGATGTAAATTAAAAACCTGTATTTTGACCCACAGCAAGGCGGGACCACTCCGGAAGTTTTATTGACCACTTAAAATACAGAAAAAGCATGATTATAGCCTTCTGGATTTTGCCTGAAAATGTTAATACAAAACAAGTTAGCATAGTGCAATTTCTAAAGGTTACGGGTCCGCGCTGACTGAGACAATTTGTCATCTCCAATTGTTCCTGTGGTTAATGATATCATCAGAAAACATTCAAAGAACATTGGACCCAAATGATTTTCAAGAAAGATCAATGTGGAAAAAAAAATAACAGCACAATCCAGAATAGACATTTTAAAAGGAAATTAGACACTAGATGAAATTCCTTGTTATCCTATGTATATCCAAGATTAGCTTGCTAGCATGTAACTGCAACAAGTATCTACAAAAGAGAACACTAAGACTAGTGAGGCAGTATGACTTCAAATATCCAGGAGAATCAACAACAACAACAACAAAGATAATTAACATATAACAGAATATAAAGCTGAGGCACAGAGGAAAACAACTAACTTCTGCGTACAGCATTAAGTAAACAGTATCTGGACTACATAGTTCAATGTCTTATTTCTGTCAAAAGCTCGGTTATTTGGAAGAACTCCTTGCCTCAATAGACCATCCTTTCCCTGACAAGCCACAAAAGAAATTTTTTTTTTTGAAGACTTTCCGTTTATTCCAGTTGTCACTTTTTAATAAAAAAAGTTTGGCATTTGCAAATACTGCCCAGCTGCCAGGCACGATTCTCACATTTTAACTATGATCCAGCATATTTCTTTCTTTGGTTTCTGAAAGTTGGACCTCACCTCCAGTTTAAAAAAAAAAGAACGAACTACTTTTACTAGGAAACAACACCACCAGGATATACATAAGCCTGGCAAAGATCCTAAGGAAACAAAATACACTGTGTTTGCACATTTTTTCCAAATGCAGGTGTTACTTGTGACAATACCAGTTATTAAACTCTTCAAAATACAGATGTGATAAGACATTTATATTTTTCTTAGCACAAACACAGACTTAAAAATTTCCAGGATATCCTGTAACCAGTGTAACCAAGCTAGCAAACTGTGCAATCAAGACTGGCAAATGCTAATTTCAAGTGTTCATACTGATGAACGTGTTAAAAATAGTTCTATATGGCCACAGCCAATTAACATCCACAGTGCGTATCAAAATAAAGTCTGACTGGTGCTGCTACCTTTTAGCTTTACAAAGCGGGTGGCAGTTTCTCTGATACCACAAGTTGCAAATAACACCTAGATAACAGCATTTTTTGCAAGTTAGATGTGAGACTGAAAAAATACCTCCTATCAATAATCACAGAAAGATTCTCCCTCTTTTTCAAGGTCTAAATGCAGCTATTTTCACAAGTTCTACATTACCCACCAATTTTCCTCAGCCGTATTTAAAAAATAAGTCAATTCTATACAATACTAACAACAAATTGATGCCCTTTCAACAGAGCAGCCATCAACACATAATCAGAACAAAGATTGAGAAGGCTTCTAGTTTGTCTTCTTTTAAAGACTATTAGTGATTTTGGAAATTCTGCTTTAAAGAACTCATTGTCAGGATGCACTGAGCATACCTCCCCAACCTATAATGGTAATTATTATCAGTATCATTTTGGAAAGCCTGGTACCTGTGCTCTGAAACAAAGAAAGCAAATTGTTTTGCTTTTTTGCACTATACAAAACAGGGTTTCGCACCATATGAAACAGGGAAGGGGATTGTTCAAAGGTGGTACGAGAGTTCTCGTTCTAACCTGGTTCACTGATGTCCTCTGTATTGCTGCAGCCATCAAGAACCATGCTCGATGTTGTATAGGTGCATAGAAAAACGCAAGCACTGTTCCAAAAGATTTATCTGGGCTATGCTTTGAGATGCTCACTGAAGGCAGACATCTCTGCATATGGAGCACCGTTTAGTCAGGGCTGCAGACTTGCTTTCAGCATCCCAGCCAAGATTTAGTCACATTTATGCATAAGCTAATTTAAATGCGACTATTAAAGAGGACAGATTCTCCTACACAGAAAAGGTACAAAATAGTGTGAAAATAGAGTGAAGGCATGGAAGACCATCTTGCTATTGGCAGCACTGGCAAGACACTCACTACACTGCGTAACCTGCTTTCAGTTACTCTGTATTTGGACATCTCATAGGTATATATTTGTATGAGAAATAGAGGTGCACCTTATACTTTTCAGATCAAAGATCATCCTGTTGTAAAACTTATAAATAAAAGGGAAAAAAAAAAAAGCAAATTATCATCATTAACAAAAATTATACTGGCTAGCGGTTAGTACAACAGAACCAGTATTTTTGAGGACAGGCCTTTAGCATGCTTGTTACCATCTCCTGAACAAGGCAACATACTACTTGTACATGATCAGAACAGATTAAAGTATCTTTAGAAGTCAAATATAGTGCTGGTTTATTTTTCATGATGAAGTAACTCCAAATGAATATGAATTGATGCAACCACTGAAGAGTGCTAATAAAGCATAGGAAGTCACTGATCTATTTAGCTCACCTGTGAAGGAGTTTTTAAACAATTTGGGAAGAACATATACTTAGACACTTCCATCATCTGAAGTTCTTTTTCTGTGCTTTTAAAGCCCTAGAGAACCAGCCCTTTTTCTGTATGAATGTCAAGACAGGGTCAAGGAAGCTTACTTATCAATGGCCATACCTGCGAACAGCTAAAAATAAACCTCAAAATGTTTTTCCACATTATTAGTTCCGCACCTTTAGTGTTTATCTAATACTTGCTGTATCCAACCCCATCATTTTCTGTGAGCATGTTCATATACAGATTTCCCATGCTTCTTAACACTTATGGATTAGGTAAGTAGTGCCTAATACACAGAAAACGTGTATTTCAACTCCATAGAAACAGTTTCCCTGTCTATCGAAGATCAGACACCCTTCTAAATACCGTTACTCCATACGTATGGAATGGGCCACTACTCCTGGTTCATAAGGACTCATCTGAAAAACTACTTCATTTAGCACATCCTAGGTTTTTAGAAATTTACTGGCCGAGGAAAAAAAGGTTATCCGCCTCCATAGCTCTTACACACTGTTTCTCTCCTGACAAATGCTCTTTTCCAGCAGCTCCTGTAGATGGATGAAGCACCTATTTAGTGGACAATAGAAATTAATGGACCATCCTCGCACACCTTTTCCTCTAACTCGGGATATTTTAGAGGAGGCAGCTGAATGAGAAATAGCCACTGCGTGAAAGAAAGATTTAAAGCTACCCAGCTCGATCATTTAAAGAGTCTCCAATCTGGCTCCCACCAGATCTTTAAACGTAGGAGAGCCTGGCAAACTCAGCGCCTTCCACCAGATATCACCTTCTCCAGTAGAAGGAAAAAAAATAAACGGGGGGGGGGGGGGGGGGGGGGGGAACTGGACCGAAAACACCCCCCAAACCCAAACCACTCGGTCCCAACCTGCCCCTACCCCTTCCCCACGTCCCCGCTGCCCCTCAGGGCAGGGCAGGGCCAGGCCCTTCCCGAGCCCTCCCCAGGACCCCCCCGCCACCTCCACAGGCCGAGCCCTGCCCGAGCCTCCCCCGGAGCCTCCCCCCCGGAGCCTCCCCCCTCACAGGCCCTCAGCTCCGTGTCCCCCCCCCATGTCCTTCGGGCCCTGCCCTGCGGCCAAGCACCACCGGGGGGGGAGCCGAGACCCCGCGCCCCTTCCCCCCAGACCCCCCCTGCGTGGGGCAGGCCCGGCTGCGGCGCCCCCTTCCCCTTCCCCTTCCTCCTCCTCCCTCCCCGTGGCCGCTTCTCCTTCCACCCCCCCCCCCCTCCCTTAAGGCCCAGCCAGGCCCAGACCTCTCCCTACACACCCCTCACTCCCCCCGCACCTTGTAGTAAACGTCGAACTGGATATTCTCGGGCAGCGAGCGGATGTCCCGGCGCCGGGCCCGCCCGTAGCTGTCCACCACAGCCGAGATGGCCGTGTTGTACAGCGTCTCGGGCACCCACTCCAGCTCCACCGCCGCCATCTTGCGTGTGCGGAGCCGCCTTCCCCCAGCCCCAGCCCGGCCCCGCTCCGCCTCACGCCCCGCAGCCCTGCGCGGTCGCCCGGCCCCCGGAGGGAGGGAGGGAGGGAGGGAAGGAAGGGAAGAGGGAGGGAAGGGGAGGACGGAGGCGCTGCTGGGGTGCGAAGGGAGGATGGCGGAGAGGGGGGTAGAGGGCAAAGGGGGGGTGTGGGGGGGTGAGGGGTTGAGCCGCCTGCGCTGGGGAGGCGCGAGGGAACGAATGTGGGGCGGAGAGTGGAGGAGGATTTAAAAAAATAATAATAATAATGAAGAAAAAGAAGAAGAAGAAAAAGCCAAGGGGAAGTCAAGGGCTGAGGGGTTACGGGATTTGCGGTGGGGGTGAAGGGAAATGCAGAGGGGGGAGGCGCTGGGGGGAGCGTGAGGTGAGCGGGCAGCGCCGTGACCCGCGGCCCGGCTGCCGGGGGCTGCTCGGGGTCCCTGGGGTCGGGTTCTGGAAGCGTTATTGGTGTAGGGGCGTTACTGGTATAGGGGCGTTATTGGCGTGAGGAAGTTATTTGTGAGAGTTATTTGTGAGGGGGGCAGCGGGCCCGGCGCCCCCCGTACCTGGCCTCAGGGGAGGCCCCGGGCGCCCCCTCCCACGCCGAGCTCCGCGGCCTGCCCTGCGGTGAGCTGAGGGATTTCACGGAATCAGCAAATATCCCGCCTTGGAAAGGACCCGTGTTTGTATTTACAGCTTAACCCGCGGTGATGTGCTGCTGGTGCTCGCCTTCTGGGGCTTTCAGGTGCGCAGGCAGCTCAAGGTGAGCGTTATTTGGAAGCCATGGGTTTATTAATGTGCCCTACGTGCACGTGCTTGCCTGGTGTTCCTCGTGGGCTGCCATGTGGTAAAAATGCCCTTTTCCCTGTGTAAATGAACCCCGTGGCCCCATTATAGTTTGCCAATATCTCCTTATCTTTATCACGCTGTTTGAGGTATGTTTTTCTTCTTAATTTGCTTTCCATGTGGGGCGTGCACACGCCACTAGGGACATATTGAATAGCGTTTGGCCACAGATGCTATACTTTTGGGACAGGCAATTAAGATTACTTGGAGTAAAACAGCCTTGCACTATGTAGCCAGCGATGTAGTCACCCCTGTGTAATACAGGCATGAGCTAAGAGATTAGTACTTGGTGTAGATTTTGATAGCGCACTAAGTTAATGCTCAGATTTGACTGCTGTAATGTGGTCCTGAACCACAATGGTCCCATCTATTCACAGTCAGTATCCTGCAGTTTTAAAACTTTTAAAACTAATCACAACCGTGGTCAAAAAAAAATAAAAAATCCCAGATGCACTAACTGGACAGAGAAATATTTCTCATTCTATTAATTTTTATTTTGTTTTGCTTAGCTAATATAGGGTGGTGACTGTGACTTACTGCTTATTATTTATTATTTTAAAAGTTACTGGTTGTGGAGCATCTACCGCTTCACTTTGGGGACTGTTTCTAATAACCCTAGAGGTGTTGCTAGTGCTGCCCTCTCTCTCACCCCCCAGTTTTATGAGGGCATTATTCTTCATCACTTACATACAGAAAGAAGTGTTATGGGGTAGAAAGAAATGAGCATGGTACAAGCAGACCACAGAAGATTGCTTTATCCTCATTTGCCTGTTGGTATTTTCAGGTGTCTTTTAATTATTTTCTGAGATCATGTGGTTTTTATTTCAATTGAAGAAAGACAGATGGTTTCTATTGGCAATTAGTCCCCCAAGAAGCAGAGGCTATTTACCTCAGTTACTTTCTAGAGTGCTAGTTCGGAGCATGTGGAGCTGGAGGCATATGAGGAGAGTACAGATAAGGCAGCTTTCTGCTGTATAAAAGAAAAGTATTAATTATACCTAGAAAATGGTAATTTTTGAAGTTATAATGCTTTTTATTGTGCTTTAAAATAGAGTAAAAAAATCTAATAATGAGTAACATCTGTATAAAGTAAATATAATTTCCAAGACAGTGTTGTAGCAACAGGCTTTATCTTTTTAAGTTGCTATGCCTTAAAAAATAACTAGCCAAGATACACCTGTTATTGTGTTATTTTATGTAGGTAGGTGTATCACATGCAATTCAAGGGGAAGAAATAAACATCTTTATGAAAAGATGTGATAGAGGCTCTCTCTGGAGTGCATTGTTATATATTGAGTCTGTAATTAACTTTGATAGAGGCCAAGGAGCAATCTTTGTGGCTGAAGTGTTTTAATCTTTAGGTAGGAATACAACTTGGATGTGGTAGCTCTGTTATTTATTAGTAGTGTGTGTTTTAATATATTTATCCAGTGAGCAACTTGGTAATCTTCTATTGTAGATACATATTTGAGTTGTAAAAGCATGGATAGAGTATTCATGGAGTTGTCAATTCAGCGTGTTTAATGTTGAGATAGTAGATCACCATTCTGAGTAACATACAGTAGCATGCTACTTCAAAAAAAAAATCTGTTTTCTTAAATCGTTATTTAGTTCTCCAGACACCTTTAAACTTATGAGGTATCTTGTTCAATGTATGGATTTATTTGCTTAAACTGTACTGTGAACCTATTAGCAAACTGGCTTCACTCAGTGATGTGCTCTTCACATATGTAAATTATTTTAATGTGATTGCTTATTAGTAGTTGCAGATGTTAGAAAATCTTTCTGACTCCAGTACTTGCTGGCAAAGGTTCTGATGGATATTCTTATCTTTGTTGATATCTTTCTCTATTCTTTTGTCTTTTTTATGTAGGGAAACATTTAAAGGACGCTTACAAATACTGTCTGCGTCTGAAAGCAAAATGGTAACGCACGTTGCTTAGGCAAAAGCATTCAGTCAGTCTGTCTTCTGTAATCTCAGCTTTTGAAGATGCATCTGGGTATCTGAACAACTCACATGTAACGCGTATGGAGAGCAATGGCTCTGTACATCTGTGTATCATTGCAGTGAATAGGGATGCAGACAAGCCTATGTAATGGGTAAACGTATAAAGAAAATCTAATCATAGTCTGCTATTATAAAAGCTGTCCCTGAAGATCAAACAACCCCTTGGTTGTCAAAATGCTGTCTGTAGAAGTTCATGCAAAAGAGACTTTACATCTGCAGAGAAAGATGGTTGTATAATTTGGATAGAATGTGGTTGGAGCTTGATGCTATGCTACACCATGTTAAAAAAACAGTCCTCAAAACCTTTTAAAAAAATAAAAAATCCCAAGAAGTTATTGGTACAGAGTTACCATCGGTACAATGGTGAGTTGTAGCAGCAGGATTGCCTCTTTTGCTACTGCTTTTTTCACAGCTGTTCTGAAGTCAGATTAAGTCAACTGCAGGTTCACCTGACTTGCTTTGATCTGAAATTAGTTAGAAAGCATTCATATACTAAGTGATTTTTGGTCATTAGCTATAGATTATATAGTGGTAGTTATATTACATCATTTCAGAGTCAAAAGAATAAACAGTGGTGTATGACTTTTGATCTATAGGTGTGAAGTACTAAAATACCATGTCTGTATTGCAGGAATATAATTCTAGAAAGCATGGATGAAAAAGATCCAATCTGTTTCACCTGCTGCCACTGCAAGAGTGTTTACATGCTTTCATTAAAGGTAATGTACTTGTCAAAGTGCAAAAATCAGTTTGTGAAATTGCTATGTTCACATAGGTGAAATTCAGTATGGATGTAGTTGAAGATGGAAGCCAGCTCATTGATGGAAAACTTAGTTTTCTTACAAGACTTAAGCAATCAGCTATCATAGTCCAGGATTTTCAGAAGTGGTTGGTGGTTCTCATTTTCTCTCAGTTTAAATATGAGGTTGTGTAAATGAACAGCCTTTTTTTTTTTAATTACTATGGCTGGACATACTTAGTAGGGGAAAAAGTTCTAAGAAAACAATACAAAAACCTGCTGAATTTTCTTGCAATGTGCTTATTTTGAAGTGGGAAGGAAGTGAACTGACATGGATAACATATGAACCTTCTATATCTCCTTGATGTGGATATTAAAGGAACCTTGAAAATAGTTTATGGGGAAGTTGTTGGAGGCTTCTAATTTTAAATTCCTAACAGGAAATCATTAAACTGTAGAGGAGCCAGCATAACAGACTGTTGCTCTAAAACAAGAGCTAAATGCGGAGCATGCACGTGAACTTGTCAGATCTTTTTTAATGTTGGCATTTTTTTTTTGCTTTCATGTTTACTGCAACCCAGATAAATACTTTTTTGTTTTTGCACTCTTTATATATATATCAGTTCAGTAGTCACATTTCAGAAGAAATGTTAAAACAATGCTGTTATGGCATAGCAAATGTGAAGAAATTGAGATTGTACTCCATCAGCTTCAGAGGTTAACTCCTTGCACAGTCAGGTCCCGCACTCTTTCATTGGCTAGGGAAAAGCTTTAAGAATGTGGATACTGTTCGGTTTGATCTTTTTCTTTTGCCTTTCTGGTCAAACACATCCCATGTAGGCTGTGGAAGAGGTGCAAGAGAAGAGAAACCAAGCTGATAGCAAACGAAGGTTGCCAAAGCTTGCTTAGGAGCAGGAGGAAGGAGAGATTATTGTGTGTCTGTGAGCAGAAAGACTTGAAGGTTAGCCACCAAAGTTAGCTGAGGTGCTTTACAAATTAAGAGACTTCAAGAACTTGTGTATGTTGAAGTCAGATGGGCAGTGCTGATTTCTGGTGTCTTGTGATTATTAAGCTTGTGCCCCAGTTCTGAGTTTTTAAGCATCTGATCTGTTATACTTCTGTATTTTTCACGTCGGAGAAAATTAGTCATGGCTTTTTACAAAACACAATGTTATGCAACTCTAAAGCACCCGACTAGAAGAGAAGGCAGGATGCTGGCCACCCAGTGCTGTCTTGTTATGTGTAGTTATGATGAATTTGAATGTAGCTTTGTCAATTCTTTTTGTTGTCTGATTCAGCTGAGGGAAAGGCATACTGCTGTGAAAACTGTTAGTACCTGTGTGAACTTTCTTCCCTCCTCCTCCTAGAGAGAAGGTAAATTCGTTTATTCACTTAGTTGAGTGTAGAACTATAAAATGTTTGATTTCACGGGAGGTGTCATGTGAG